CCGGTGTTATTCTGTGATAGTCAAAGTGCTTTGAGTTTGGCTAAAAATCCAGTGTATCATGAGAGAACCAAACATATTGATGTAAGGTTGAATTTTATCCGTGATGTTCTGGAGGAAGACAAGTTTTCTATTCAGAAAATAGCTACAGAACACAATCCAGCTGATATGTTGACAAAGGCGCTACCGACGGAGAAGTTTGAGCACTGCTTGAACTTGGTGAATATTCGTAGGAGGTAAAGCCCTCTCGGGGCATCTGGCAGGAAGGAGACAACTGAGAGATACTGACGAACATTTGGCGGTTGGAGAAACTCCAAGTCAAGGTGGAGATTGTTGAAACGTGACTTGGATTTAGCGGTCTACCCGACCTTAAACCAAAGCGAAAGGGCTGTTTCAATTGGCAGGGTTCCTTTTGGGCTTATCCTAATTAATAACAAATAGGCTTAGGGTTTAGGGTGTTTTGGGGTGCTTATAAATAGACAACTATGGTTCTTAGTCGGATGACACATTGTAAATCTCTGAATCAGTATAATAAAATCTCTCCGGTTCCTGCCCGTGGACGTAGGTTGACACACCGTCACCGAACCACGTAAAACCTCTGTGTTCTTTATTTGCTTTCTTTCTCGTTTTCTCATAACATAAACCAATCTCACTTGTTAATTCTACATTTGTTGCTTTATTACCACTAAATGTCCTCCTATGGTTGTCTTGATCTTGATCATTAACATTGTATTCCACTAAATAGTTTTAAAAGTCATTAAAAGCCAATAATGATCACATTATCGACATTCGAAGTCATCCTATCCAAATCATTTGGTGGCTTTCCAAACTCTCGTGTACGAAAATGTAACAAAAATCAATTATCATTTATTGTATGTATCTATATATTTAAAAAAAAAAAAAAAAAAAAAAAAAACATGCAAATTAATTATTTAAAAATATATCAATCATTAATAATAATAAAACTCTATTATTTATATGTAAAATCCTCCAATGGTGATGGGTGATCTGATTACGACGATGAAAATGGGGATAAAATTTGAATGAATAAATAATAAAAAGAGTTTTTGGTAAAGAAACAAAATATTCATTCCGTTCCATTACAAAGTATCAATTTTTTCATTTTAGTTCATCCGATAATAAAGTATCTATTTCCTTTTTTTTTTTTTTTTATAGTAACTGTACTGTCTACTTAACATTACAAATACCCTTACAACTTACAATATATTATACAAATGTTATTACCTTTATATCATACATACTAATAAAGTTATTTTAGTCATTTCTACTTTATTCCTACTATATCCCAATATAATACTAATATTTCTAAAACCCCGTGCAAAAAGCAAATAAATACTTACTTACGGAGAGAGTAGTTCATTTTTAATTTTCTACTTTCAATTTTCTTCTACATTACAATAGTCCACTGTCACGAGAATAAATAATGTATTTTTATAAAACAATAATGAATATTGTGAAGTATGTATATTTAAAAGTTCGGTTAAAAGTTATTGGTGTGTTTGTTTGGGGTATTGGATTTTGAGTTGGGATTTGAATAGTAAAAATTTTGAATTTGAATAGTTGTATGATGTGACATAAATAGGTGTTGATGTGATATTTTGAATGTAAAATTGATTTTTAGTTTAATATAAAAAAAAATGAAAAATAGGTGTTTGATTTGATTTTTTTGGAGGAAAAAATTGGATGAATAATGTAAATCCAATCCAATCCCGTAAACAAACACACTTAGTTGATTAATATTTTAGTTATAACATTATGTACCAACGGTTTTAAAAATTAAAATATGTATTTAAATACTTTTAAAAATTATATTTCAATATTATATATTCGATATGTATATAATTTGTAAATTATATAATTTTATATAATATAAGTAAATGAAATTATAAATATTTAATTATGATTAATATAAATGAATTTTAACAAAAAATATGTATAAAAAATCTTTATCTTATTATAAATTTGTGCTACAATGTCGCATTATATTTACATTTTGTCTAAAATATACTATCATACAATAAAAATGTATACATAATAATATTTCAGTAAATTTATATTAATATGCAAATTATACACATATAAATTATCTCCTAAATATTTACACAGTAATTTATGATATTTTACTATAATGCAATATTTTTTAAGTATTTACTTACAATATTTACCAAATAAAAAAAAACAGCTAAAAAGCACATAAATAGAATAGTTCAAACTTCCAGCTGTTCTTTGTTGTTATTCAATTTATAAAATTCCTCCACCAATCATTTTTTATTTATATTCATATTTTAAGGTTGCTTTTTTGTGACAAATCAGATAAATTTATATTTGGGCCCATTTACAATTTTTTTAAAAATTTGATTTTTATTTTTTTTTTTAAAAAAAAAGATAATGGCTGATATGATAGTTGAGGTTAACTATACGTGTATTTTGAACGAAAATGTGTGTTAACTTTTCATTATAAATTATATTGAAAATATGTTTCATGTGATTATATATAATTTAAAATAAGAAATTTAATATATGTTACGCAACATGTTGAGTTAAATATGTTCATATGACTCCATAAATAATAATAATAATAATAATAATAATAATAATAATAATAAATATTCAACAGAAAATATTATTTTGAATTCATGCCAACTACCACATTATTGAAAGCTAATCCAAGCATTATTAAGTTATTTTAATAGGATTAGATTTGATCAAGAAATAATAAGACCAAATAGAATTTATCATATTTATCATGGGACCGAAATGTGTTCTCCCTTAAAGTTTTTAATTAAAAAAAAAAAAAAAAAAAACATATTTAACAATTTTTGTACCTATGAAAAACCAATGTCCATAAAATAATAATAATAATAATAATAAATAAAAAAAATTCATGAGCTTAACAAAAATGATGCAAATCGCAAACATGACAGTTCTATCGAAAAATATAAAAAGACTATACTCGCAATTTTGGGTAACAGGGCAATGAATCATATAACAAACCTTCGTACATTTATATTAAAACATCGATACTACAGGCATAACTTTTACCATTTCGTAGTTTCTACGATATCCATATTCATCAAGGTAGAGCTTAATTTTCAAAATAAACAACACATATATCAGACAAACATGTTACCAAAAGAAGACTCGGAACCCTATTTACATATAAGAAGCAAAATCCCGTCAAATTGGTTGCAACTTACAATCCCGGTTAACTTGGAATGAACAAGAACAGAGACTCCTAACTAGGCATAACAAGTAGATTTGTCGGTTGGCGAACCTAACAACCACAAGTTAGTGAATTTATTTCAATAATACCTTTATTCGGCGCATAACCAACTCCCAACGGATCATTACCATATTAATTCTCTGTCTAATCACACAAAATATCTAAGTCTGATGTTTGATTTAGTAAGCAGGACACTGGAGTAAATAGTGCCGTCATATGATAAACAATCAAATCCCGAACAAAAATCTAAGATTCTAATTTCTCAACAAAATTAATATAAAGCAGATTAATGTGAACAAAAGTACAAGACACCGCCAATGATATGTATGATAGATGCATCTGTGCTGCTTAGCTACCGAGTTTTTTTATCCACTGCTAAATAAAAGAGCAGTTGATAAGAACAATCGAGAAAAAAAAAAAAAAAAAAGAAATCCAATGCAAGGAACTACTTGAATAAATCTCAATAGAGCCCAACGCAATTTCAGTAAACCTATAGACAACTACAAATTATTGATATCATGCTTGAGAGGCATCGTGGGGCTATGAAGTCTCACTTGATTAAACTCATAGGATTTTCAGCAGGCGGACGTATAAATCAAATTCTAGACACGAAACCCATAAACATCTCAAGTGAATAGAGCCAAGCTACAGATCTAACTCATGTCAAGTAACTTTGTAAGTCAGCATGGTTACTGCATCTGATCTCATCTCACGCATGATCTAGATAAAATTCAAGAAAGAAACTCTCCAAGTAACAGACTGAATTGATAAATGTAAATGTGCATTTCGTAAAAACATGATAGAGCAACAGAACAGTTTTTCATCTAAAAGACAATAAAATTGTGCAAAATAGACATTCACGTATCTCAATTTAAGCTTAACAACAAAAGTCTAGCCGTCGCAAAATAGTGAAAATTACGGACATGACCCTTATGTGCAGCAACTTAGTACACTTACCAAATGTCTTCCTTGTCAATCTTATAGTGCTAAAATATTCTAGCTTTCAAGATTTATCAATTTACATATTTTAAACTTCGCGGAGTTTCATGGATTTCATATTTCAAATAAACTCTAGCAACTTAGTAAACTTTGGCTTTTGCATTTTCTCTGAGCTGGTATTTTTCATTGGGTAAAATGTATTTTACAAAGTCAGATAGAGTACACTAGCTTCGATTATAGCTTCTTTTAGGTTGGCTCTCTTATTGCAGCAGCTTATTTAGCTTTACCTCATTTAGTTCAAATATCTAGAGCTCGAGTTGGAAATAACTTCACAATGACAAGCTAAGCTCAACTAACGTTTATCTCGTGCCGAATGTGACACCCCGGCCCGCAAAACCACCCAAAGTCGGATGTGTCGGAATTAAACTGGCCCCACAAGTCAAGACAAGTACTTCTAGGGCGCTTCTGTCCTCAAATTACTTTAGAATTATTTCGGTAGGACTTCCGGAAAAAAAATATGCTTAAGTAATCTATTCAATTCATTTAACATCTAATCATCTTCAAATGATCTAATACCAGCTCACCACGCACGGGAGTTGGCCAAACAACGGCTCAACAACTCCGAGGTTATCCCACCAAAAATTTAAGCATGAAAACATTGAACTCTCTTACAAAAGGCAAACTATGAATAACTTCACCAAACAACGCAGACATTAAAACAAGACTCAAGCATGGCCATGGAAAATAAACAGAAGGAAAAAAAATGAGAAAACTTCAAAACAGACTAAAAATGCAAGTTAATCAACAAAAACGACCACAATAAACTCAAGTGTCAACAATCACTTCCACATTATTAAATAAAAGCAACCAAGTTTTAGAAGCTTGTCACAGAATACTAAAACTGTAAGTGGATCATAGAACGGAAATGCAAACAGAAATATCATCAATCGATAGCAAAAGAAGCAAAAATGTAGAGATCCTGTTAAGAATTACTTCTTCTTATATTTGGCGACCTCGCCTTCATTGGGGAAAAATCCCATGAGCCTACCGGCGGAATTCTGGTAAGCGTACATGAACCCTCCCATGGCGCCGATTAGACCTCCCGTCACCATCGACGGCCCCCTGATTCCAGGCTTAATTCCTAATCATTTTCGCGCACACCAAATGCATCACCATCTAATAGCAGTAAAAAGGAAAATAAAGAAAATCGAATCGATCGGTCAAAACCCTAATGCGCAGAAAGATGTGAATACCGGAGAGATAACCGACGACGATGGAAACTCCGGTGATGGTGCTGAATCGGAGGTAGTCGAGAGTATTGAAGTTGGCAACTGTCTTCGTGAACGGCGGATTCCGATCCACGACGGGGTACTCCGGCTTCGCCGACGCTGTGATGTCAGTGTTCATTTTTCTCCTCCTCTGCCCTTTCTGTATCTCTCTCTCAATGTATATTATATATACATTATTATTTGTTACTCCCTCCGTCAGTGTAATGTAATATAGCTAAAATATAATTAGTAATTAATTAAAAAATATATTAGTAAAAATAATTATAGATTAAGATAAATAAATAGTTTAATTAAATTAAAAAATTATAAAATTTAAAATTTTAAAAAATGCATAATTATCTTTCAAAAATAAAAAAAAATTATAAAATTTAAAATTTTAAAAAGTACATAATTATCTTTCAAAAATAAAAATGACAAATTATGTGGACAGACGAAAATAGAAAATATGGACAAATTATATGGAGAGACGAAAATAAAAAATATGGACAAATTATGTAGGAGCGATGGAGTAAAAACTACTACTTCCTCATTTCCGTAACAGGAGCACGTCCTACTTTTTTTTTTTAACGATATTTTCTAATATTAATATTATTTTAGTTTGTAGTAAAAAAAATTAAAATATCCTATTAGTGTTATAAAAATAATATAATATATTATGAATGATAAAGATATTGTATTAATAGATAGTATAATTATTATATTTAAAAAAATTACTTTATTTTAGAATGAATAAAACTAAAAAATAATATCCATTCTTAAAAAGAAGTATTATTATTTGTTTTTTTATTAAATATATATTTTTATTTAAATTATAAATATATATTCTTGTATAATCAATTTATATATAAAAATAAAAACTATTCCCTCATTCCCTTTTGAGAAGGGCTTTTTAGTTTTGTAATGGAGTTCCTTTAGGTTAGATTTACTTATTTTTGTAATTGTTTTTAATTAGTATTATGTTTTAATATAATAATTTTATATTTAAAGATCAAATATGTAAAAAATAAATGAGGGTCGGACAGAACTAGTAATATTTTACTTATTAATAGAAACGTTTAAAAGATTTTGAACCACTAATCTAACATCGTGTCACTGAATAGAGAATGAAAATTAATTCGTTTGGTAAAACATAGAATTCACTTAAAAAATATAGAGATGTACGAATGGATCAAATAATAATGATTAACAGGATAAAAAAAGTTTCAATAAATAAGAATTCATAAAAAATATTTTTGGTAATTTTTTTTAAAAAAAATCATAATTATATACGGTATTTTTTAAAATTATATTTTAGTACAATTTATTAAAAAATTATAAAAAAATAAATATTTTACCAATAAATTAAATTTAATTTTTGTAAAATTGTAATAATATAATTTTAAAAAAAATTATAAAAGTTAAATATTAAAAAAAAATAAAAGAAAATTTAAAAAATATATATACTACAACATCATTTCTCTCAATTTCTCTGTACCATAGTTTCGTCTAGAAAAAATTTGAAAAATTGATAAAATCTGATAACTTTTAGAGTGTGAACCCTCGATTCGCACGCAGAAATTATTGGATAGTAGCCATAAATTCGGCTTACGAGAGACAAATTAAAATGAATAAATAAATATTTTTATTTATTAAAATTTATTTATCTGACTCAATGAAAACATAAAAATAAAAAAGATTTATTTCTCAAATTCTATTTATCTAACTAACATAAATGAGACTATTTCTCTGGCCTCGTTACCAAACACACCCCTATTTCGTATAAAATCTAACAAAAATCATAACAAACACAACAACTTACATTTGTACCAAAACTGTACAATAATATAAATATCGGGTGCATTTTATAAATTGAAAAACAAAATACTGTGCAGACAGAGAGTAGAGAAGAATCGGGATTCGACTGCCGGTAGGGTTTATCGTCTTTCATCGATTCGAGAATGTCGGCGCCGGCGAGCACTCCGAAATCGGAGACGGGATCAGAAACAGAGAACACACCGAATCCAAATACTGACCTAACACCTCATTCGCTGGCTCCGACCGACAACACCTCGAGTCCTCCGCTTGTTTGCGTGCTTAAATTTGCGGGTGATTCGGCCGCCGGTGCTTTCATGGGCTCCATTTTCGGCTACGGTAACACCTTTGTTGCTTCTTTGTAGGTTTTTTTGTCTGTTAAGGCCTCGTGAACTGCTGTTTTATGTAATTCGCATCGCGTTTTCTACACGGTGGAACTTATGTTTGCAAGTGACTTTTACCTGCTTATGCAAAATTTTGTTACCTCTTTTGTATTATATAATTGTTTCGATTTGCTTCAGAAATGCAGGTATTTTAGTTTATAGTTTTCGGGATTTGTGGTATCAAAAAGCATCTCAATATATATTTTCGGAGAGATTACAATTGTTTTTAGTTGTCTGTGGAGAGATGCAGCATATAGTTTAGATTACCATTTTGTATGATTTGGAAGCTAGTTCTTATGTATTATGATGAACAAACAGCCTTGTTCGAGTGCAATAGGAAGGTTATTTACGATTTTAGTTTGAGTTTGTTGTTGGGTGCGGATGTCCACCAAATTGAGTGTATTGGAAATTCTGTTCGATCATAATTGCTGTGGTTGGTTCTTGCCCTATTTTTGGAGTTAAGTGTATTAGGTAGTGATGCAAAAGCCATTTTGAGGTGTTCTTTCATAGAATCACAGTTGAATAGTCTCTTGGATGGAGGTCTGTAATGTGATTAATTAAAATTTACCTTCAAGAGTCTTCTGGTAACAGGTTCTGGATTGGTTAAAAAGAAGGGTTTTAAAGGTTCCTTTACTGAGGCTGGATCTTCAGCCAAGGTGTGCCGCTCATTTGTTGCTCCTGAGTTGCCGTGTGCTCAATTCTTATGGGTTCTACTTTTGAAATCATCTTTGATACTGGATTTGTGAATCTTTTGCCTTCTGTGCAGACATTTGCAATTTTATCTGGAGTGCACAGTTTAGTTGTTTGCTTTTTAAAGCGATTGCGGGGAAAAGATGATGGTAAGTACCAAGTATTTTTATTTGAAAGAATATTCTTGGGTTACAACCTCTGCATATCTAACTTCCTATTTTCTTCAGTTATAAATGCTGGAGTTGCAGGATGCTGCACTGGCCTTGCTCTAAGCTTTCCAGGTATTTTTACTCTCTTCTCTAATACCCTCCTCCGCCAGGCCACACATTTTTTCTAATTGTATTACATCTTACACATTACTATCTTGGTATGTTTCTTTGCTTCTAAGTTTTTGTTTGTGTAAGAATGTATGATCTTACATGTTGTTCACTGCATTGGTATTATTTAAACACAGAAGGGGCAAAACTACCAAATCCCGGGTGAAATTATCCTATTACCAAACAATTTTTTCTCAATTGGTTACTAGCTATCAATGTTAAGTGACAAAATTTTCACACTCGCAGTCTAAATCTAGGTACACATGGTGACATTGATTGGTCAGAGCTACTTGAAAGCCCGATAGTTTATTAAGGGTGTGTTTGTTTGGAGGTTTGGATTTTGATGTTTATAGGGGAAAATTTTTGGATGAATAGTGGAATTTTCACAAAACCCCTCACACGAACACACCCTAAGATTGACCTTGGGCTTATATGAAATGAGTTGACTTGAGTTTGAGAAAATTTCAATTCAATTTAATACACGAGTAGCTCAATCAAATTGATTCAATATCCTATTGAATGACTTTTGTGCAATAGAAATTTTAAATTACAGATTATGCAGCTCAAAATCATGCTTAAGCTCAATCAATTCAAGTTTTAACTTAATAATTGTATTATATTAGCCGAGTACAAGCACGAAAAATACTTGAATCCATACAAGCTACTAAAACCAACTTGAGTTAAATAGATCCACATATGGAAAAAATTAATTAGGTTCGTTGAAATACATATGGATCCCGGGAAAAAGGATACCTGAATATTGGGCTTGCTAAACCAGTGCAAATACTATAGGAAATGGAACTTGATTCAATTTCAAAACCTCGAAACTTGGCTTGATTAGAAATTCCAGTTTCCTGTTATGCTGATATCTGAATATATTCCAACTCGAAACCATTAAACTGCAAACCCATATTTACAATGCTATTGATTCTCTCCTACAGGTGCACCACAGGCATTGCTCCAGAACTGTCTGACGTTCGGGGCATTCTCATTTATAATCGAAGGTCTCAACAAGCAACAACCGGCACTTGCGCTACCATTCTCTAAAGCTATCAATCTTCACCACCACCACCACCACCATGTGATTCCTCCTCTGTCACTCCCCCTGCCAAATCAACTAATGCAGTCCTGGTCGTCGTTTCTCCAATCCACAAGAAAATAAATAAGGCTAATGCATATATCTTTTGGTGAGTGCTTTTTTGGGTTTCACATCAAAACATCTAACTGTGCTAAACTCTGCTACTGATTTCTCGGAGAGCTTGTGATTTTTATAATACCCGGAGATGGTTTACACACGGTTGCTTCTTTACTGATTCCCGACTTACCTAGGCTTCTTGACTGGCTGATGTCTCCCTCCCCATATTTAACACAGGATTAATCAACTGGAGAGTGCTAATCATAGGCCTTGGATCAGTTCTTGCAAATAATAGGGTATCGTTTTACAGCCTTTGAGTTTTCAATTTGGTGGAGCCTCAAATTATGCAGGTGATGTTATGTTAATTTTAGCTTATGGATATTTTATGCAAAAGATGTTAAGGTTTTCATTTGCGCATGCTTTATGCTGATCTTTTACGGCTGAGGGATTTAGATGAGATCGAACACATAATAGCATCTCTGTCGATTTTAGATTTTAGATTTGAGATTTTATTTTATTTTAAAATAAAAAATAGATATTTGATCCACAATTTTAAATGAAAAATAGACAAGTGACTATATGGGATTGTAGTATATACGTTATTTTAGATGACTTTTTTTATTGTTAATAAGTTTATAAATTAATAATATATTTAATAAATATAAATTAATTTAATTAAAAATTTTAATTTTTAATTTTTTACTATTCACATTTTTTTTAATTTGTAACAAATATTTTTGTCTATATTTTATAAAAATGATTTTAAGTTAATAATAAATTAGTAAATATATATTTTTATTTATTTGTATTATATATATATAAATTATCTACAAATGATATATATCGTATATATTTTATTGAAATAATTTTAAAAATATTTAAAATATTATTAATAATATTTATATAAAAAATAATAAAATAATATTATAAATTATTACTAATAAATATTTTAGGCTGCGGCAAGTTAGGACTTGATCGAGGGATCAATTGACTCGCATCCTCGTCATAGATCAATTGATGTCTGACTTCCACGAAATGAAAACGGGCGGCATCGTCGCTCTTTAGTATTCGGAAGTGGAAAGCTTATCTTAAATATACAATTTAACTATTTTATCTACATTTAATAAATATTTTTATCTGTATTTATTTATACTTAAAACTTTTTTATTATTATTTTATAAAAAAATAAATATTTTTATTTATATTTAAAATTTAACATATTTTTATAAAATTAATTTAAATTAATTATAAATAAGTAAATTTACTTTTTTTTGTTTATATTATAATTTTATTATTTATAAAATGATATTCATATTAAAATATATTACAATATTATTTTAAAATTATTAATTATATAAAAAATAATAAAATAATATCATAATTTATTATTGTTACATAATTAAATATTATTTTTAAATATGATATTTTTAATAGAAAGTATCAATAGTATCCTTAATAAAAAATATCAATTATACTGAGATGAATAAAATATAAATTTAAATGAGTGAAGTTACTAATGTTTTGTTTTTTCAATAAAAATTTTTTAACTTATTTTTTTAAAAAAATTAATATATTACATAGACTATTTTTATATTACTTAAAAAATATTAAAACATAAAATAAATACACCCGAATTTCCCAATTTAAATATATCCCTTTTGATCTCAAATATGGGCTGTCTTATAAAGTTCTAAAACAAATAAACTTGTTAATTATGTAATTACAGCAAAGGACAGTGAGAAAGCCTACAAGGTTTCGCTGCAGATTGACCGGTTGAGGGTATAATTGTAATACTACATATCCTAGGGTTTCTACCTCAGCTATAAAAGCCTTTGTCTTCCTTGCTGCCAGCACCGGCGTTTCTGAGTTTGTGTTCGATTAAGAGCCTTTTCGGAGCCCTAAAACCCTCCGCCGACAATCATGGGTGAAATATCAGTCGGAGCTCCAAAAAAATTTGATACGTCAAGCTATATTGGTGATTGTTTTGTGTGATTGACGGGAATGGTGTCTGTGCGCAGGTATTTCTCGGGATTCCATGCACAAGAGGCGTGCCACTGGAGGAAAGAAGAAAGCATGGAGGAAGAAGAGAAAGTAAGTGTTGGTGTTGGTTTGTTGACGAGTTTGTTTTTTGCTTTCGTTATTTTATTTTAAGCAATCAGCGGCGATTGCGCTGTGTGAATCTTTACTGTTCTTTTGAGCGTATGCGTGATCTGCTTTGGTAATTAAAGCACATTGGTTTTATACAAAAGCGCGATGCAATTCTGTCTACTTATGTATGCGTCTGTGTGTATGTCGATTTTATTCCTTGATCATGGAAGAAGATTAGGTCATTCCCCTGAATTTGGTAAAAAAGATTTTGTCAAATCCTATTTCGCTTCTTTAATGTTTGTTTATGTCTGGAAATGTGGTTCATTTGACGAGTATTTTTATTTTGTTTTATGGATCAGAGTTATCTAAATGCATGCATGCAGTATTGTGGGTGCTAGCGCGGCAAAATATCTGAAATTCGAATATTCCGTTCCAACCAAACCAAAGTTTAAAATTTGGTTCAAAACTTCGGATTTTGAATTTTTTATTGGTTCGGATTGAAAATTTTCTATAATTTGGATTTTCGCAACAGTTGAAAATGCTAGCAAATTTGAAACATGTAATATATTAAACTTTAATAAATTATAATAAAAGTGTGTACATGTTGCATGTTTTGTAGGTTCTTATCTGGGGTTTTTGTATTAAATGTTTATTTTTTGATTTGTTTGATATTATTTGTTTCTTGATGAACCTATCTATCTTTTTGAAAAAAAATTAGATTTTTGAATATCTTACGTAATTTTGGATTTTTTTATTTGGTTCAATTGTTCAATTTGGATTTTGGGACAATTCAGTTTGGTTTGGATCAATCTTTTACAAAATTTTGAATTTTTGGATGAGTTTGGATTTGGACCATATATTTGAATACTCAACCCTAGTGCTACTGCCAGCATTGTTTTATTTATGAAATTATTATGTGTTTCCGACTGCTATTTGATTCTGCTTCTGTTGTTTAATGCTTGATTTGATTGTTGCCATTTAGGTATGAACTCGGTCGGCAGCCTGCAAACACAAAATTATCAAGCAACAAGACTGTACGCAGGGTTAGAGTTCGAGGAGGCAATGTGAAGTGGCGTGCCTTGAGGCTGGACACAGGAAATTACTCCTGGGGTAGTGAAGCTGTGACCCGAAAATCTCGTATTCTGGATGTTGTTTATAATGCATCCAATAATGAGTTGGTCCGGACCCAGACTTTGGTTAAAGGTGCTATTGTTCAAGTAGATGCAGCACCTTTTAAGCAGTGGTATGTTCAGCACTATGGAGTCGACATTGGCCGCAAGAAGAAGTCTGCTGCTAAAAAGGAAGGAGAGGTAAATAATACATTTTCCCTATTCCTTCGAACTTTGATTATGCAATTCTGCACATAATTCAAGATTCATATATGATTAAGGTCTTTAGTTTAGTTTATTTTATTTTAATTACAATATATATATATATTTTTCGTTTGTTTCACAATGAAGGAGAGCGAAGCTGCTGCTACGGAAGAAGAGAAAAAGAGCAACCATGTCCAAAGGAAGCTTGAAAAGCGACAAAAGGAGCGTACAATTGACCCGCACATTGAGGAACAATTCGGTGGCGGCCGTTTGTTAGCTGCTATTGCTTCACGCCCCGGTCAGTGTGGCCGTGCTGATGGGTACGTAATATCTTATCTAAACACAACTACGATCTATTTGAACAATTATAACTACAAGAATTCATATAATTGCTTGTAATTTGCTTTGCTTTTACGACTAAAATGGATGTTTGTTGCAGCTACATCTTAGAAGGAAAAGAGCTCGAGTTTTACATGAAGAAACTCCAAAGAAAGAAAGGCAAGGGTGCTAGCGGTGCCTAAACTTCCCGATGGATTTTCCATCGCCACACAAGGTTGGTCATGTTTCTATCAGTTTTGTTTTTGTTGCAACGCTAGAGATGAGTTGTTCTTTTTTTTCTCGAGTGTTTTGAACTATCGCCGATTTAATATCATCTATTCTTATATCATTGACAACCACCATCCATTAGGGTCTGTTTGGTACATAGAAATGAAGAAACATATCAATTATTTTTCATTCCTTATTTATGTCGAGAAATGTTAAGAATCGGTAATTGTGAGTTTGGATTCGTGTTGATCCGTTTATTATCGTGTTGGGTTCATGTCGACTTGTAATATAATTAAGTCGAGTTGAGAGCTCCAACCCTAATCCGATTCGCTTATTATCGTGTCGGGTTCGTATCAACTCGTATGAAGGGGTTGAAATCTTTGATCCAAATTTAATTATTTCGTGTCGAATTTGTGTCGGGTTGTCAGGTCGGGTCAATTTTGTCGGCTGCATATTTATAGTTAAAACTGCATAAATGGAGTTTGGATTAGAGATGGCTAAGTACACAATCCTGGCGCGGCGCGGATCCGGATTTGATATCCAAATAATTGAACCAGACTATCGGATCCATTGCCATCCCTGTTCCTTCTGTACCACTCAATCATAAATGACATGCTTTTTATTTATTTATTTTAATTAAAGCTTGATGGTATATAAAATTACTCTTTAGTCCCTGGGTAGTAATATAAAAAGCCAGTAGACTATTTATTTGTTTTTTTTTTAAAAAAAATGTCAAATTATAAATTTATTTTTATTCAACATGTTACTCCTTCTGTTCCGGGAAATTAGTCACTTTTTCTCTTTTAGTTGTCCTGCAAAATTAGTCACATTTTTTAATATAGGAAAAATTAGTACATATTAATTACAATTATAAATTTTAATTATATTTTATTCAATTACTAATACACGTAACTTGGTACAGGGAATTAGCAGAGAAATAGAAATATTTTTAATTCTCTTGTTTGTTAGAACTTGATAAATAAATTATTTCTATTTTTTTGTTTTTATTTCTCTCTTATATTCAGATAAATGATTTGCAGTATATATATATATATATTTTTTTACTATTTAATTTTTATAATTATTTATATTATATATTATTTCAGTTTTACAAAAATTATATTTAATTTATCATTCAAGTATTTACTTTTTACGATTTCTTTTTAAAAAAATTATACTTAAATATGATCCTACAAAATATCGTATATAGTATATAGTCTTCTATTTTAAAAAGTCATCAGAAATATTTTTTTATATTAGATTAATCATTTATTTTTGTCCGATCTATTTATTATTTTACCAAACAAGAGAATTAATTTTCATTATCTATTCAATTTTTTTAATTTCCAAAGTCTCTTTTATTATTTGTTTTATTGTAAATTTAAAAGTATGGCAAGAATTTTGAATAATAAAAATTAATAAATATTTAATATGATATAAATAAGTGTTTATGTTATGTAAAATTTTTAATTAATTTTTAATATAACATAAAAAATATTTGATTTGATATTTTATAATTAAAAATTAGTTAATAATGAGATTTGATTCAGAATTTGATTTTTATATTTCATTAGAAAAAATCATTTATCACTCTTATTAAGAGTGAAAAATATTAATTTGTTCTATTTGTGAAAAATATTTCAGATTATATATCACACCGAATTTTTTGGTATATTAAAAAAATATCGATATTATATAAAAAAAAGTTAGGTATACTGAAATTTGGCATTTTATGTATTTTTTAGTACGATATGTTGTAATTCAAATTTTTTTCATCTATAAATTTTGTATACCAAATTATTGCTACAATATCTCAATATTATAAAATAGCATAATAATAAAATTGAAAAAATTTGATGTTTTGTTTATATTAAAATTTTTAGTATTACAGTTGTTATTTTTGTATTTAAATTATTTACAATTAATTTTTTTTTTATCCAATTGTATAATTACAATCAATATAATAATATATTTTTAAAATAAAACAATTTCAATACATAAAACATTAAGTTTAAATAAAATAATATAAAATAATATTTTAATTTTAATTTTAATTTTTCATCAAATAAAAATAATTAAAATAATATTTTATTATATAATTATATTAACTAATCACACTAATTAACTATATAAATTAATTTTTTTAAAACTTTGAAAAAAAAAAATGAATTTTGCCGGAAGAAATATATTTTTACTATTTAAAATTTTATTATATCATATAAGAATATAAAAACAACAATAAAAAGCCAACTGTTGGGACAAGATTATTCAAAAAAAATCTATATATTGTTAATATAATTGTATTATTTTATAAAAGTTTTATAATTTATTTTTAAATTTTATTAATTGTGTATTTTAAGTTACATTATAATATAAAAATTATATTTTAAATTTTGATTATTTATATTTTAGAATTTTAATTTAAGAATAATGTGTAAATTAAAAATAAAATTACAATCTAATGTTTAATTATTTGTATTTTACAATTTATTTAAAATTTTATAAATTGTATTTAATAATTTTAATATAACTAAAAATATTACATATTCTTACATAAATTTGATGTCTCAATAATAAATTAAAATTTTAATATATAAATTAAAATTAATAATATCATTATATTATAAATTTTTATTAAAATATAATATATATAAAAAATAAATATAAAATATTTTTACTGAAAGCTACATTCAATGTGATTTTGAAGAAAATAATTTTTTTTTTTTTTTCAAAATTGCTTTTTATTATTCTTTTTTTTGGGGACAAACGCAAACAAATATAAAATATTTTATCTTTTTGAAAAAATAAAAAACCACTGTCTACACGTCAATTCAAATAGACCTAATAATAATACTCTTTAGTTGAATATTACTCCATCGGTCCCACGTACCATATCTATGTTGTCGTTTTTGTCCGTCTCACATATCATGTTATTTTTTTTAAAAAAAATGATTACACACTTTAATCTCATTTTAAACTTTTTAATTTTTTTAAAAAATTTTAATTAAACTAATTAGTTATTTTAATCTTAATTTATAATTATTTATATTATAGAATAATTATTTTTATTAATACATTTTTAATTATTTACTAGTTATACCCCTTCTAAAATATCGTGTCTAATATAGCAGACACTGTACGTGGGACGGAGATAGTATTATAAAATAAAATTTTTTTAAAAAAAAAACAGAATCTTTTGTCTTTTATATGGCCCATCACACCAATTTATATATATATATATATGATTTTTATATACTGACGACCATATCCACGCCAGAAATGTAGCCCTCAGTCAAGCTCAACAACAACAATTAGTCAAGAATTATTCTTTCACATTAGTGTTTTAATAAAAAAATTAAAAGAAAGTTACACATCACCTACTATTTAAGGGTATGTTTCTTTTTAATGAATTTGACAAAAAAAAAATTAGTTTAAATTTAATATCAAAATAATGTATAATAAAATATTTTATAAAAATATATATATTTTTTAAAAAATAAAATAAAATTCAAATAATAAAAACATGAAATTTAGGTCAAAATAAACAAACCCTTTAAATAGATAGTACAAAGTGATATTAATATTATAAAAATATACTCCTTTCGCCTCATGGACTTGTTACTATAGTTACGAGAATTTAAGTAAATATAATTAGTAAGTAATTAATAAATATATTTAAAAAATAAATTAAAAAATTAAGATTCAATAACTAAATAATTTATTTAACATTAAAAAATTGTAAAATATAAAATTTAAAATATTATTAAAATATATACTCATATTTCAAAAGAACAAATTATGTGAGACGGACAAAAATAGAAAATAAAGACAAGTTACCTGGAATAGAGGGAATATAAATTGATAGTATTTATAGTCTACGCGATAAATGTTATGAGTGTGTTTGTTTGAGGGTTTGAATTTTTTGTTGGGATTTGAACGGTAAAAATTTTGAATTTGAATAGTTATATGATATAATGTAAATAAAATTTGATGTTATATTTTGAATGTAATTGATTTTTAATATAATATAAAAAAAATAAAAATAATGTTCTATTTGATTTTTTGGAGGGGAGTTGTGGAAACAGTAAAAATCCCATAATAAAATTTTGTTATATAATTAAAAGTGTTTTAGAAAAAAATCTCATAATAATATTACAATTACAATTTAATATATTTTTATATATTATATTTCTATAGTTAGAAAAGAATTATATATGTAATCAAATTTTACTGTTTTCTCTATTCGTTTCTAAGGGTCATATTTTTTTTACCTCATTGTACTTAATATTAAAAATATCATTGTATTTGTATAAGCTTTTTTTTTATAAATATTCTTCCTTAGTATTATAAGACACTAATTAAAGTATTTTTGCGATGTTTTTCTTAATTTGTACTACGTTTTAATATATTAATTAAAATTCAAATATCACCATGCAAAAAATAAATGAATTTTAGAGTCGAACGGAAGTAATTTTATATTTTATAATAACATTATAAATGATATTTTGGGTAAAAAATATAGTTATGGGTTTGTTTGGTTGTGGTATAACATTGATTTTGAAATGAATTGTTGATTGAATTTTTATTTAGATGGTATTATTATGTAATAAAAATTAGTAATAATAATTACTACCTTTTGTTTTTTATAATAAAAAATGCACAAAAAATAATACTCCCTCTCATGGTCTTTTTGGAATTTTGTAGTAGAGTCAGAAATAATAGTATTTTATTGGTCTGTGTAATTAGTTTTCACATTTTTGCCATTGAAATTTTATGCATAAAGTAATTGTATGTGTAATGGTATATATGTAATTTAAATAAAAGTAAAAAATATTTTAGTATTAGTGTATGATTACTTAATATATAAAGAAATACTTTGAAATGAGACGCCAAAAATTTAAAAAAAAAATACTTTAAATTATGATGAATGAAGTAGTATTCTATTACAATCCAAAAGAGAAGGTAAACATATATTTGAACGGCGGGAGAAATATATTTTTATAAAAAATCATGTGGGTGAATAACAGTCATTTCAAATTGAAATCACAATTAAATACGTCCAATCATATAATCAAACCTCTAACACCTTTAGGTTTTGTCTCCCACACATGGTTAGCCAAGTATAGCTTGTCTTGTCATGTCTAATTTGTAAGGTATTAAATTCGCTGGTGGATTTATACAAAGAACACTAGTCGAATAGTAACTGCGAATTTTCACGTATCAAAAAAAAATAAAATAAAAATGAGGCATGTCCATGCCTCCAAATTTTGTTTGCTACACATTGATTTGTCTAATACTCCCTCCGTCCACTAAATAAGTATACATTTACTTTTGGCGCGGAGATTAAGGAATAATAGTATTTTAATTATAGTAGGTAGATAAAAGTAGTGAAATGACATTTTTGCCCTTACTTTTTTGGTATAAAAGTAATGATGTGATGTAAAGTAGGGGTATTTGCGAAAAAAATGGAGTATTTAATGAAATGGTTACTTTGTAATTGGACGTCCCAAAATAAAAACATGTATACTTTCTAATTGGACGGAGGGAGTATAATTTATCTTATCAAACTTAATTTATAAATTATTAAATTCGATCAAAAAATTTATAAAAATGACTTGCAGAGTGACTTGTTGCATATTCTCGTATTATATAAAATACAAAAAAAAATTGTCCGGTAAATAATAATAATAGCATGTCAAATAAAATGTTTGATTTCATTATTTTAAAATACATCATATTGATCGTATATTAATAACCACCCATGTGGTGGGTGGGTGGGTGGGTGGGCCGTGTATATTTATTTTGGAGCTTGAATTTTAAATTTGTATTTGAATTTAAATAATAAAAATTTTAAATTGTAATTGTTGTATAATACAATGTAAGTATTGATGTAATATTTTGACACTTGATATCTGTCCTATATAACAAATAATTATTATGTGTATTAAAGACATGTGATGTTTGTCAATAATTATAAGAGCGTCGTATAAGTGTATATTGTGTACTGAAATCATATATTGTGTAATGTTTGAGACTATAATACGTATTGTTAGTTTATGTGTTGCATTTCTATTATATTACCACATATAATTAATGTATTGTCTGTAGTAATACCGTGTGATGTCTGTTAGCACATAGTGTATTGTAACCACCGTCTTATTTTTATTATAGTCCCTCGGTCTGCCTCGAAGGATTATATTTACTTTTTATGTGATTGTACTTAATATTAAAAATATTTTTATATTTATAAAATAAATGCTTTACAATTAGACGACGAAAGTAATAGAATAATTATTTGTATTAATATGGAGTATTTTTTTTTAATTACTTATTAATTATTCCATTCGTCCGCCAAATTTATTTTCATTTTTCTTTTCTTTTTAGTCCGTCAGTTAAATTTATCTCATTACTAATTTTGGTAAAATTATTACCCTTTATTCAACACTTATTTACAATAAATACTATTAATTTTATTATATTCTCTCTCTTCATTTATTTTAATTTTTAACTAAATTTTCAAAATGGTGCTGCTAAATGGGCAGTTTCTACCCAAGGCAGAATAATTATTAATTATGTATTAATATAGTAAAAAGACTATTATACCCCTATTAATTTATTTATCTCTACTTATTAAATATAACGGTTGTATTTTTACTTTTCATACTAATAAATTTTACTTTTCATTGAAAATATAAAAAGTATTTTCTCATTAATTGTAACAGTTATATTTTCTTGAATAATTAACAATTAATACTAATTAACGTATTTTATATTTTTTAATAGTAATTAACAATTAATTATGTAGTTTTTTATTTGTTCAATTTAAACTAACACTTAAAATAACAAATGTTGTATACGATTTATTTGGTAGTGATTTAGAAGAAAATAATCAATATGAAAATTTTCAAGCGGATAATATCGTGAATGAAGATATGAAAAATATTATTGATAGTTAGATATTTTCTCTTCTTATTTTATTTTTCCAAATACATATGTAAATATTATATTAAAATAAATAAGAACATAAATTAAAAAACATCATAATTTTTTTTTCAAAAAATAACTAAATACACATTTTACATTCAATTGTTAGATTTTTTTTTTGTCAATTTGAATTCTAATAAATTCAAATTTATAATTGTTATAAAAATAATTTATCAGAATTTAAATTGACAAAAAAATCTAACTAATATAAACCTAAAACAATATGTTATATGTCAAAAAAATAATATTAAATGATAAACATATAAATATTAATAAACTATATATGTATAATATTAATAAATTATACAATTAATATATTTTCATATTAATAACTATATCTCGTATTTATAACTAATTATTATTGATAAAATATATAAATGATTGTCAAATAATTTATGTTAATATAATTAAAAAAATTTAATGTAAAGTATAAAGGTACAAAAGTCTTTTACTAATAATAATAATTTATTAATTATTATTTTTAGTGTTTCTGACTAGGCAAAATCTTGTCCACCCAGAATTAGTGCTTTTAAAAATAACTCCAATTAATTACTATCACTTTTTTAATAAAATATTTATTTTTTTTAAATTCTATGTCGAACCCAAATATGCTAATTTTAATGAATGAAAAGAGTTATTTTTTTTTTTTTATCGAACTTTTCATATTTATGATACTCCCTCCGTCCCATAATAAAATATCCATTTTTCCATTTTAGTCTATCCCATAACAAAGTATCTATTTCTTTTTTCTTTTTAGTAACTGTACTATTTACCTAACATTACAAATACCCTTATAATTTACAATATATTACACAAATGTCATTACCTTTATATAACATATACTAATAAAGTTATTTTAGTCATTTATTTTATTTATACTATAATTCAATATAATACTAATATTTCTAAAATTACGCAAAAAGCAAATTGATACTTTTAATGGGATGAGAGAGTATATCTTGTTTTGGGTAATAAAACTATTTTGTCCTCTAGTAAAAAAATGTCAATGTAAAGAAAACAATTAATGCAATGATTGGTCTGACTCATTCATTCATTATACGTACGTATCATCCAAGGGTGTGTTTGTTTGGGACATTCGATTTCAAATTTACTATTCATCTTATTTTTTTTATTTTAAAAAATTAAATTGAATATTTATTTATTTTTATATTATACTAAAAATTAATTTTACATTCAAAATATCACATCAATACTATATCAGATCATACAACTATTCAAATTCAAAATTTTTACTATTCAAATATCAAAATCCAAAATCCCAAACAAACACACCCTAATTGTCTTATCAATTTGATGACTAATAGTTTTTTTTATAAAATTAGCTATAAATAGCCATAGACATATATAATAAAAAGATGATAATTTTCTCTTAAAAAAAAAAAAAAAAAAAAAAGAAATAACGATTCTTCTAAATTCTCTCCCTCCTTTATATATTGCAAATACAAGCACTCGATTTATATTGATATTAATCGATACATAAATATATATTTTTTATTCATTGATAATACATTTGGGTGTATTTCTTTATCCTCAAAATCCCAAATTTCTACTATTTTTATTATACATTTTTTGAAAAAAATAAATATTTTTTCTCTTATAAAATATTTCTATCGTATATCTCACAAAATATTTCGTCATATATTATTTTAATATCAAAATCAAATCAAAATTCAATTAAACAAATCCTTTATATATTTAATATTTATTGTTATATATATTGCATAACAAAAGACGTCTTATAGATATCCTGTGAACTTAAATTAGATAATATATATACTGTCTCTACCACATAAACGTAAACATTTTTTTATTTGTTATTCAAAAATATCTTTAATATATAATCATTTTATTTTTTATTATTAAAGACAAAAGAAATACACTCCCACTAAAAACTAATGCCCAAAAAATTATGAACATAATATATAATATATAAAATAAAAATAAATATTTAATTAAATAACTGCTCTTTTATATTTTCAATTCTATTCAATCTCTAAAATCTTCTATAAAGATACTCAACTCAATTTGAGATGTCGAATAGCTCAAAAACAAAAATGGAGTTCAACTTCTCCCTATCCATCATTACTATTTTTTCCTTCATCCTTTTTCTGACAATATTTTTCAGAAAAATTACTCGATCCAAACCCGACCCGGATTCGAATCTTCCGCCGGGGCCGAAAAAGCTGCCGTTGATTGGAAATTTGCACCAGCTCGCCACCAGCTCGAAGCTGACGCACCAAACGTTAAGCGACTTGGCTGAAAAATATGGGCCGGTGATACATTTACAGCTCGGCCAAATCAGCACCATAGTGATTTCATCGGCAGAAGCCGCCAAAGAAATCATCAAGACACACGAACTCACTTTTTTCAACAGACCGGTAAACATAGCTGCGGAAATTATATTTTACAACCACTCGGATTTGGCAATGTCGCCGTACGGCGAATACTGGAGACAGTTGCGCAAGTTCTACACCGTGGAGCTATTGAGTGCGAAACGAGTCCAATCGTTCCGCGCTTTAAGGGAACAAGAGTTCACAAATTTGTGCCAATGGATCGCGTCGAAAGAAGGTCTGTCGATCGACTTGACGGAGAAGATCGGCTTCACTACTTGCGATATCGTAATGCAGGTGTCGCTCGGGAAAAAAACCGACGAACTAAGAAAATTCACAACCATAGCCAATAAGTGTGCCAAGCTTGCTTCCGGATTCAATATTGCGGATTTCTATCCTTCGATCGGATTGTTCCGACGATTAAGTCCGACGAAAGACAAGTTAGAGAAGCAACACGAAGCCGCGGACAGGATACTCGAAAAGCTTATCGACGAACACAGGTCGTCGACGAAGGATGAGAGTAAACAACACGAGGACTTCGCAGACGATCTTCTCAAGTTCAATAATTCCGGAAACCAAATACAGCTGACGGACGCTAATATAAAAGGGATTTTACTGGTTTGTCGTTTTCGCTGCGCTTATAAAATTCATTTTCACTTTATTAGAATTTTATCGAAAATTATTAAAATTGGTCTTATCCATATATATAGGAAGTGTTTACGGCTGGAATCGAGACATCCTCTATGACGACGAATTGGATTATGGTCGAAATGCTGAGGCAGCCGAGGGTGTTTAAGAAGGCGCAAGACGAGGTAAGAATGGTTTTCAAGGACAAGGGATTTGTCGACGAGTCCTGTTTTGACGAGCTCAAGTATTTAAAGTTAGTCGTAAAAGAGGGCCTAAGGCTCCATCCGGGGCTACCGATTCTTTTTCCAAGAGAAAGTACGGAGCAATGTGAAATCTTTGGATACAAAATACCTCCGAAAACTCGAGTCTTGGTAAATGCATGGGCAATTGGAAGAGATCCCAAATACTGGAAAGAACCAAATAGTTTTATTCCGGAGAGATTTCTTGATAGTCCGATCGACTACAAAGGGAACTACTTCGAATACCTTCCCTTCGGCTCCGGAAGAAGGATTTGCCCCGGAATATCATTTGGCCTCGCTAATATTGAGCTCGCTTTGGCGCTGTTTCTTTACCACTTTGATTGGGCTTTGCCCGACGGAATGAAGCCTGAAGATTTGGACATGGCCGAAGCCCCGGGCCTTACGTTGAATAGGAAAGAACCATTGTATGTGATTCCGAGAGTGAAGATACCATTGCGTAGCCGCATGGTAGTAAGCGCATAGCGAACTATTCTTTCCGCTTCTACTGAAGGAAGTGAAAGATAGCTTTTCCTGTAAAACGAAGACTTGATGCATATTCAATAAGAAATTTGTGGTGTGATTGGCGAGTGTATTTTTTTATTTTTACTGTTTGATTACGGTAAAGTTATCACCATGCCTAAATAATATCGATCAAGAATCTAACTAGTATATTATTTATATTAATATAATATAACTATAATACAAAATATATATATATAATATACTTCTATATAATACTCCCTTAACATTTTCCTTTTGGTATGTTCCGCAATATTTTCAAAATAGGAAATAATTAATTATATTTAATCTCTACCCCACACTTTATCTCATCACATCACCCAAATAAAAAAATAAAATATACATTTCTCTCTCCATCACATCACCTAATTTCTAAATTATCTTACTTAATACTACTCATCTAAAAATCCGTGCCCAAAACAAATGTTGCACTTTATTTGGACGGAGTGAGTACATTACGCTGAGATGATTTCTCCAAATATCATTGATTCAAAATCCGCACTTATAAATAGTATAGAAAACACATGTTTAGGGTTAAAGAAGTTTTGAAATTGGTTTTTCTAATTCATATTATTTTTTAGAATAGAATTAGTGAATGGTAAAAATATTTCGAAAAAATCACTAAACAAACACATTATGTTCGTAGGATAATTGCAGATATTATAATTTTGATGGTATCTAAATTTAACTGCATGTTTTTTTATTTTTTTATCATTTGTAGTTATAATAAAAATAACTGGGTTTATTTACTTTGATATCCATATATAAATTTATAGTACAATAAATAATATTTACATACAAAAATATGGCATATTATTATTATTATTTTTTAAATATTATATTAATATTTATTTATATCAAATTAAATACTTTTACCATCCTAACTAATTTGTTCACATGAGTTGAAACATCAAAATTTAGGTACTATGTAATTAGTAAGTTTTTGTCCGACCTTGAAAATTAGTTACATTTACAATGGAAATGTATGTAACTAATTTTCACGGCCGGAGAGAGTAATTAAAAAGTGTATTAGTAAAAATAATTATAATTTAATAAAAATAATTATATATTAAGATTAAAATTATTAAATAATTTACTTAAAATAAAATATATATATATATATATAAATTATAAATTTTAAATGTGATTAAAGTATATAATTATATTTAAAAAATAAATTATGCGAGGCAAATAAAAATAGAAAAAATAAACAAATTATATGAAAATAAGAGTATAATTATTTTAATTTAAAATTTTAGTATTATCAAAATATTAGCACATAAGAATATAAAAATAATAATAATAGTTGAATATTATTACTTCCTCTATCACTTGAATTTGTATTCACTTATATTTTTGTTGTCACCTAAAAATATTTGTATTTTTTATTTATTAAAAAATTATATCACTTTTTATATTACAAAAGAAAAATACAAAAAATAAAAAAACAAAGAGTATACACGGGTGTGTTCGGTTGTGGGATTCTATCCCAAAATTATTATTCATAAAAAAAAATTTCCTAAAAAATATCAAGTCAAACACTTATTTTCTATTTTTTATATTATATTAAAAATCAATTTTACATTCAAAACATCACATCAACACCTATTTATATCACATTATACCACTATTTTAATTCAAAATTTTTACTAATCAAATCTCAATTCAAACTCCAAACTCCCAAACAAACGCATCCTCGCAGTAAAACTCGTGTCTTTTTTTTATTATTAATATTTATTTTTAATAAGGTAAAAACCCACAATTGAACCTAATACCTTGGACTCCACAAAAATATGTCACATTAGGCGAATCATATATAGTAAACGTTCTCGTTTAAACTCATGACCTCTACCGACACCACTAAGTCATTCATTGTATCAGAATTTTTTTTTTTTTTTTTTTTTATTTATAACATTGTGTCTATATATATGTATTGCGATTGGTGCTGATTATTTTAGTGCTAATATTAGCATACATAATTAGATTAATTATATCATAAATAAAATTAGTTAACATTACTATTTCTCTACACTATGTGCATGGGTGCTACCCAATTCTTTCCCAATATATAAATATATACTCCCTCCGTCCACAAACTAATATCGTACTTTCCTATTTAGAATGTCCAATAATTATTGTCTTTTTTCTATTTTTATACACAAAATTTACTCTTTTATCCTTACTTACTTTATTTACTCTTTTATTTTCTATACATAAGATTAAGGGCAAATTTGTCATTTTATAACAAAAATTTTAATTTCTTAAAAATGCAGAGAGGGACTATATTTTATGGAAAATTGTGTCTAAATATAATATAATTTATTTAAAAAACACAAAAAGAGAAAAAAAAAAATTGTGATATGGTTCACCCATACCATATATATATATATATGATTTTTAAATCGTGACGGCCATAACCACGGCAGAAATGTAGCCCTCAGTGGCAATAATTAATATTTGTTTTGCCCCATTAGGTACACAATATTATATTTACATATATAGTAAAAGATTTTTGAAAATCTCTTTTACGGATATATAAATTGATGGTCGGGTTTTTTAACAGTTCAGAAAAAACAAATGAATTATTTAAAATTTAAAATATCAATGATATTTAAATAACTAAAATCTAATTCAATTAAAATAATCACTTTATATATAAAAATATAAATATACAAAATATATTATTCTTTAAGTTATCAATAATTTATATTAGGGGCATAATAGTCCACACAGTAATTATTAACATCGTCAATCAAAGTTTCAAAGGGGCTATGTATGCAATATTATTTGAATAACAAGTAAAACGAAATTTTAGGACAAACGATCTTTTCGATGAATTTCGCAAAAAATTCTTCTTTTGTTATTTTTCAAATAATTTTCTACAAATAGTTTAAATTTAAAATTTTTTGAAAAACTTTAGGGTAACTCCAACTCACTGCATAAATGGAGTGGGCTGTGCAAAAATTGGGGGAGGGGCTCCAACCCACCCCCAAATTCCCCCCCATTTTTGCAGCCCGCTACAATGTCACTCCATATTTGGAGTAACACTGTACACTCCACTTTATTTTTAAAGTGGAGTTTGTGTGGTATTTTGTGGTATTTATGTATTTTTGTTATTTTTTGGAATATATTGTGTAATTTTATTTTTTTGAAAAATTATGTATAATTTTATTTTTTAAAAATGATATAATTTTATTTTTTTTAAAGTGATATATAATTATATAGTTTTTTAAAAATACTGTGTAATTATATATATTTGGGTTATATTGTAAAAATAAATTAAAGTTGGGGTGTAATTTATAAATATAAAAATTTATGTAAAATAATATAAAAGAGGAATATATATGGAATATACTTTTTAGAGTGAAAAATTGAAGTTTATGGTTGGAGTAAAATTACTGTAGATCAACTGCATTTTTACCGTAGCTACTGCAAAAATGAAGGAATGAGTTGGAGATGGCCTTAATATTGTTACAAATAATTACACCAACCATTTAATTATAAATTTACAAAAAAACTATTTGTACCGTACCGAAATTAATACTTTCTCCGTCCCACGGAAGATGAAGTTTTTTTGTTACGGACACAGTATTTTAGGTAGTGTAGGTTATTAAGTTCTTAATAATAAGTTAAGATAATATTTTATTATTTTTTATCTGTGTAGTGTTGTTGGTATTTTAAATATTTTTAGAATTATATCTCAATAAAATATATGCAATATGTATATTATTTTGTAGACAATAAAATTTTATATAATACAAATGAATAAAAAAAATATATTTATTTATTTATCATTGCCATAAATTAGTTCTATAAAAATGAGGAATTTTAAAGGTAGATAAAAATATTTGTTAATTAAGGAAAGAGATAAAAATAAAATGAGTTATAAGTGGATTCTACGTGCAAAATGTTACAAGTTTAATTAAAGAATTTTGGTATCCTCCCGATGTTGATTAAATTCCAGGAGCATCCTGAATCATTTTAATCCGTTGGATTGTTTTTATTGACAATCCAACGATTGAGTTTGATTGAGGGTATTTTGATAATTGAAAAAATTGATTAAGATATCTAATTAAATAATCAATTAGAAAAAATTATCGTACCTACCTTCAATAATTTCGGGATTAATTTTTCTAAAACAAACAAAAATGTTTCCCAAGTAATTACTTTCAAAATTGTATACACTCAAGTTATAATGATGTATACATCATCCCAAAATGATGTCTCTGTGATACTATTATGATCTACCACAAAATACTTTTTTTATATAACAAAAATATTTCCCAAGTAATTACTTTCAAAATTGTATACAAATAAATAAATTATACCAACCAAATTATTACTCACCAACTTGTCATCCAGCTACCATTCCTGTTTGTTTCGTAGACGCCACAGCTTCAACTTTTTAATACTCCTCTCACTGTCTTGGAATTATAATATTAATTGGATTGAGCACGAGATTTAAAAAATATTAATATTATATTGATAATTGATAAAAAATATAAATAAAATTTTTTTTTGCCCTGATGAATGTATTAGTGTAAAAAATAGTGACATTTGTGTAAAAAAAATAAAAAAATAGGGGTAATATTTTGGTGATATGACTATTTATGAAAATAAGACTATTGTTTTAAGACAGAAAAAAATGATAAATAAGACTATTGTATTGGAAACAGAGGAAGTATAATATTTTAAAATTTTAGATCACTTCACAAGATATTGTGTTATTCGTGGGTAATAAACTATTTATTTGTCCTTTATATATAGATTAGTATAATAATTTTAATGTAAACACGTGAAAGTGTGAAGATGTTTTTAACTTACAGTTTCGGGCGATTGAAAATAACAAAACAGTATTTCTTTGAACTTATCAAATTTAAATATTTCTTTCATTCATTAAAATTAGTTCATTTGGATCCGACACGAGAATTAAAAAAAATTAATATTTTATTAAAAAAGTGATAGGTATTTGGAGATATTTTTGCAAATTTAGTTAAAAAGTAAAATAAATAAAAAAAAAAGTAATAAAATTAGTAGTATTTGTCGTAAATAAGTGTTGATTTGTTGACCTTGCCAAAATTAATAATGTAATAAATTTAGTTGACTGATTAAAAAGAAATATGAAAATAAATTTGACGGAGAAAAGAAGTACATCATATGCGGTTTTGTATTAGATTAAAAATAATAATATTTTATTAATAAATAAAATATATAAAATAATTTTAATATTTTTTAATTTATATTGTATATATAAATTAATTATGTATATAACAATATATTTATAATTTAGGTAAAAATTAAAAATTATTTTAATATTAATATATAATTATTTATTATAAAAATATTTTTTTAAAAAATAAAAATAAAAATAATATTTTTCACAAATAAAGGGAGTAATATATATTAGTGTAGCATACTTTTGCCTTTTATATGTCATTTAAAATTATTTTTTATTATATTTTGGGAAATAAAACGATTTTGTCCTCTAGTATAACATACTTGTGGAGTGCCACAATATGCACGGCGTGATTATAAATTTTATTAAATTATTAAATTAATTATTGTTATTAAAATATTTCTCGTTTTCACATAAATTTGTACATCATTTTATTTTGGTCTCTTCTATCTAATTTGTCTTTTTAAAAAAAATATATATAATTATATATTTTAAGCATATTTTAAAATAATAATTTATAATTTATAATTAAATTATTAAATTATCTTAATTTTAATGTATAACTATTTTTATTAATACTCTTCTTAATTACTTAATATTTAAAATTCTGCCCAGTTAAAATGAACAAATTAGTTGAGATGAAGAGAGTAAAAGTTAATAAATTTTATCACAAAATATAAATATTAATAATAATAATAATAGATGTTGATATATATGATAGCATTACCATATATAAAATTATGTTTATTTTTCTTTTTTTGCGAGTATATATATAAAAAAATCTTAAATAGACAAATATATTAAGAATATGAATAAAAAAAAATAATAATAACCTGTAAATTAATTGATGTTAAAAATAATACTCAAAATTCAAATAAATAATTTTTATATATATTATTCATTTGCAATTAAATTATAAAAATAAAATAAATTATTTATATTTGTAAGTTAATAGTATATAGTAGCAATCTATCTAAATTTGATTGCATATAAAATTTTAATTTTTTTTTTACAATTTATAATTGCAATAAAAAAAATTGACAATAATATTTTTATTTTTATATTTTTCTAAATTTTTATTTAAATGATAGAAATAAATAACAATGTATCAAAATTATGGAGTATTTATTTATTTAATTTTTAACAATCTATTTTTATTATTCGTTAAGAATAACACATACTCATCTTATTGGTTTGAAAGCTAACAATTTTACAATTCATTCAACATTCAAATATAAAATATAAATTTTTTTTACTAAGTGTAACTTTATTACATATTGCAAATATTAGAAAATTTGTTTTTATTTACATCAATACACTAAAATATTATAGCAATTTCGATAAAAAGAAATATGGTGACAAAATAATATATATATATATAAAAGTATAAAAAATTACTATTTCTTTCGTCTCATATATAAATATCACACATTTAATTTATTTATGTCTCACATCTCATATATTCTTATATTTACACTTATTATAATATTATAACGGACAGAGACAATATTAAAATATAAAAGAAATTTTTTTCAAAAAAATATAAATTTATTGTTATATAATATATATATATATATTTCATTTCAAAATATCACTTGTATTTTATTTATATCAAATTTAATAATTATTTTAATTTAAAATTTGATACACAAAAGAATATCAAACAATCATATGACCATTTATTTTATTTTTTTTTTCTGCTAAACTTATATACAATCCATTTATAATAAATAATTTTATGCATTTTTATAATTTTATTACCCTTATTTTAACAAATAGTAACTAAATTGTCATTGTTTAAAAAATTATTCAACTATTTTTTTATCAATCATTTTAATAAATTTATCATAATACTGTCACTTTATTTTTACATACACCACTTTAATATTAAAATTTCATTATTCCTTAGTCTCAATGCCTAAACAAACTATCATTTATAGGACGAAATGAATATAATACATACTATTGCGACCCACATTTTTAAAAATAATATGATTTTTTTTTCTTTCATGTGATTTTCACTGCTTCATTTTCATCTCGAGTATCACATAGTATTAAAAGTGAAATATCATTAAATGATTAGAATGAAAAATAATATAAGATCCACATGCAATTTTTTTTTTAAACAAAAATAGACAAATAAAATAATTAAAATGAAAAATTAGCCCCACACCACAAAAAAAAATAAAGAAAAAAAGAAAAGTGGATCTATACCAAAAAATTAAATTGTATTATATCCCCTATATACAAATAATATCATTTCCATTTTATCGATTTTATAACAAATGAAATTTTTCTATATTTAATATTCCCTCCGTCCACTTACAATGTTTACATATTTCTATTTTGGGACGTACAATTACAAAGTTAACATTTTATTAAATACACTATTTTTTTCCATAAATGCCTTTACTTTACATCACATCATTACTTTTATACAAAAAAGTAAGGGCAAAAATGTCTTTACACTACTTTTAACTATTCACTGTAATTAAAATACTATTATTTCTTAAATTATGCGTCAAAAGTAAATGTAAACCTGGTAAATGGACGGAGGGAATAATATTTACTAATTTAAAATATATTTAACAAATATAAATTAATTTAATTGACTTTATAATATATAACATCTTGTATCATGGAATCTACTTAAAATTCTTTTAATTCTATTCCACATATAAATAAATAAATATTTTACAATTAAAACTCTTTATCTTTAGTAAAAATTAGTTTTTATTAATTATTTATATTTATTCATTTGTACTATATGAATTTTATTATAAAATGATATGCATATTGTATAATATATTTATATTGAGTTATAATTTTTAAAATATTCAAATACATATTCTATATTCTAATTATATTTAATTTTTATTTTAAATGGTGAGACCTACTATATAAAAAATTAATAAAATAAAACAACGAAGGTAAAAAAATCAAATCAATTCAAATAAAATATAATTATATATTATTACATGTGGGCCCCACATCCAAATATTAAATGAAAAAAAGAAAATCCAAAGTAAGACACGTTGTGATACACTTTCGTCGCTAAATATTATATATATACACGATACAATTAATGTAAACAAAATAATCAATGTAAAATATGACTCATTCATTCATTATGTGTCATTTAATGGCGCTGGGTTGGATTATTTGGTGTCGGTTGTCTTCAACCAACGCCTAGCAACCCCAAAAAATGGCGTTGCTCTATATATTTTTTTATAATTTTTGTATTTTTCTAAATTTTTAAAAAAATTATTTTAAATTATAAAAATAAAATGTTGTTTAAAATAATAAAAAAATTGAATATTTGAAAAACAATAGTGAAAAATAAAATTATGATTAGAGTAAAATTACTGTAATAACTGCATTTAAAGTTAAAGCTGAATAAATAGAATTAACGGGTTGAAGATGACCATAATAGTATTATAAAATCAGCTATAAATAGACATACATATATAAAATAAAACGATGATTTTCTCTTTAAGAAAAAAAAATAAAAAAATAGAAAAATAATGACTCTTTTAAATTCTCACTCTTTCTATCAACTTTTTTTCACTCTTTCTATAAAGATAATACGTTGTTTGTTTATAATTATAAACGTATTGTATAATATTATGTGATGTGCTAAAATTAATTGTTGTGTGTTGCATGAGACTATAACATATGTTTTTAGTTTATGTATTGTATTAATATTATATGAATGCATGCAATATGTAATGTGTTAAAATTAACTATTGTATGTACTGTATAAAATTATAACATATGTTGTATTTATATTATATGAATAAATAGAATATGTTATCTATTATAATACCGTATATGGTCTGTTAACACATAGTATGTTGTCTATCATGATGCCGAATTTTAACACGGTAGTCGCCGCCTTTTACTGCAAACACAAGCACACTATTTACATATCAATTAATATTAATATATATATATATTTTTCACTCATTGATAATAGGTATATATTTACATATCAATTGATATTAATATATATATTTTTTGAATGAGACCAAAAATAAAAAAAATTGAGCTTGTTTGGGACTAAAATTGATTTTTACTCTAATTTTTGTTATGTTTTATTATTAAACACAAAAAAAATAATACACACATTAAAAACTAATGTCCAAGATAATGTACATACTTTTAGACGGGAAAAAAGATAATATATAAAACAGAAAATAAATATTTAGATTAATAGTACTATCTTCGTCCCACGTACCGTGTCTGCTACACTTTAGACAAGGTATTTTAGGAGGGGTGTAATTACTAGATAATTAAGAATGTATTAGTGAAAATAATAATCCTATAATTATAAATTAAGATTATGATAACTAATTAGTTTAATTTTAAAAAAATAAAATTAAAAAATTTAAAACGAGATTAAAATGTATAATCATTTTCCAAAAAAAAAGTGACATGGTATGTGGGACGGACAGAAACGACAACATAGACATGGTATGTGGGACGAAGGAAGTATTAGGCTAACTGCTCTTATATATTTTCGATTCTATTCAATCCCTTTATACTCAACTCATTTGACAGAATCCAAAGACCTAAAAAAAAATAAAAATAAATGGATTTGAACTTTTCACCATCTTTCATTACTGGCTTTTCCTTCGTTCTTTTTCTGGTAATGCTGTTCAGAATAATTACCCAATCCAAACCCGACCCGAATTTGAATCTTCCTCCGGGGCCGAGGAAGCTGCCGTCGATCGGAAATTTGCACCAGCTCGCCGCCAGTTCGAAGCTGCCGCACCAAGTGTTGACCGACTTGGCTGGAAAATATGGACCGGTGATGCACCTGCAATTTGGCCAAATCAGCACCGTAGTAATTTCTTCGCCGGAAGCCGCCAAAGAAATCATCAAGACACACGAACTCACTTTTTTCAACAGACCGGAAAACATAGCCGCGGAAATTATATTTTACAACCACTCGGATTTGGCAATGTCGCCATACGGCGAATACTGGAGACAGTTGCGCAAGTTCTACACCGTGGAGCTGTTGAGCGCGAAAGGAGTCCAATCGTTCCACGCTTTAAGAGAACAAGAGTTTGCGAATTTGTGCAAATGGATCGCGTCGAAAGAAGGTTTGTCGATCAACTTGACTGAGAAGATCGGCTTCACTACTTGTGATATTATAATGCAGGCGTCGCTTGGGAAAAAGACCGACGAACTAAGCAAATTCACGAACATAGCCAATAAGTGCGTCGAGCTCGCTTCTGTATTCAATCTCGCGGATTTCTATCCTTCGGTTAGATTGTTCCGGCAATTAAGTCCGACGAAAGGCAAGTTAGAGAGGCAGCACTAAGTCGCGGACAGGATACTCGAAAAGCTTATCGACGAACACAGATCATCGACGAAGGATGAGTGTAAACAACACGAGGACTTCGCAGACAATCTTCTCAAGTTCAATCATTCGGGAAACCAAATACAGCTGACGGACGCCAATATAAAAGGCATCTTACTGATTTGTCGTCATCGCCGAGCTTCTAATATTCACTTTTACCGTATTACAATTTTATTGATTTTCTAATTGCTATTGTGGAATATAGGAAGTGTTTACGGCTGGAATCGAAACATCCGCGATGACTACGAATTGGATTATGGTCGACATGCTGAGGCACCCGAGGGTCCTTAAGAAGGCACAAGACGAGGTGAGACTGGTTTTCAAGGACAAGGGATTTGTGATGAGTCTTCGACGAGCTCAAGTATCTAAAGTTAGTCGTAAAAGAATCTCTAAGGATCCATCCGGGTTTACCGATACTTTTTCCAAGAGAAAGTACGGAGCAATGTGAAATCTTCGGATACAAACTACCTCCGAAAACTCGAGTCTTGGTGAATTCATGGGCAATTGGAAGAGATCCCAAGTACTGGAAAGAACCCGAGAGTTATATCCCGGAGAGATTATTGATAATCCGGTCGACTACAAACTGAACAACTTCGAATACCTTCCCTTTGGTCCTGGAAGAAGAATTTGCCCCGGAATGTCATTTGGCCTCGCTAATGTCGAGCATGCTTTGGCGATGTTTCTCTACCACTTCGATTGGGATTTGCCCGATGGAATGAAACCCGAAGAGATGGACATGACAGAAGCGGCTGGCCTCAGTTTGGAAAGGCAAGAACCACTTTATGTGATTCCGAGAGTAAAAATACCTTTACGCCGCGACCTTCAGTAATCACATAGCAAACTATTCTTTCGCCTTTTACCGAAGGCATTGAAAGATAGCTTTGCCTGTAAAACAAAACTGATGCATATTCTCATGTTTGAGAAATTATGTACGTATGTATGTGTATACATGCTTCTTTCAATAAGGAATTTGTGGGCTAGGCGTTTTTTAGAATGCTAATTTTTTCAAATATTATTGATCAAGAATCTAGATAACATTTCATTTATATTAATATAATAAAAATATAATACAAAAAATAAGAGTACATGACATGTTTCTATAGAGCATGCGAAGTTCTTCTAGAAAGCATTCATCTTAAATATAAGCCATCTCCAACGGGCTACAATTATGACGTTACAGCCCCATAAATAAAGTTTTCACTCTCCAACCTTGGGTCATTTTTTACATTAAAAATAGTGTTTAATTTGCCAGTGTAACGCCAAAAATAGTGTTGCAGTGCAGCAAAGCCATTTTCATAGCATTATGTATATTTTTTAAAATTTGTATATTAATTATTTTTTAAAAAAAAATATTAATTGTAAATATAAAAAATAGTTTAAAATAATATATAAAATAGAATATTTGAAGAATATTATTTTTAGAGTGAAAAATAAAGTTGTAGGTTGGAGTAAAACTACAATAACAAATGCATTTTTAGAGTTATAACCACATAAATAAAATTGTTCCGTTGAGGATAGCCTAATACACTCTATGCTTACTAAAATTTTAATAATTTTAAAAATATTTATAAATATTACTACTAAAATATAAAAATAATCGTTGAACATTTTTTATAGAAAATAATTATTAAATATGATATTTATTGTAGAAAAAAATATTTTATATATTAAATTGAAAATAAATACTAATAATAATAATATTTATACAAAAGAATATTATATATCCAGTAAAATTACATTTGTTAAGGTTTGCGTGAAAATAAAAAATTTATAAATGTTTAGGTAAGAAAGTGAGAAAAATATAAAATTATTTGTTAAAGAGAATGATGTGAAATAATAAGAATAAAATTTAATAATGATGATGATAGTTATAGTAAATATTGAATAATTGGTAATAGTTAAATTTTAAATATTTTAGATAGATACATTCTTTTACCTATACATTTCAAAAATTACATCCCCATTGAAAAAAACCGCAAAACATATCTTCTATTTTTTCCTAACCCCCAAAACACAATAAATTTTACATAACGTAGCACATATCTATTCATTCCTCAAGCTCGAATAGAATCGGATCGAATAAAATCAAGAAATCGAACCTTGATAAAGGCGTGCTATCGCATCCACATAGCAAACGAAAACTTCAGCTCGAAAATCCCGAGCCCTCCTGCATCAATAGCGTCATCAGTGACATCCCCGGGATACGAACATCTAAAAAAAACACGATAAATTACTGTGGGAGGAGGCAAGAATCGAATAACTCTCAACATCCGAGGCTTCTGAGAATCGCGCTAAGTTTATCAATCACCACAGATGGATCAGCGTGCGATCCTGCAAGATTTATCGCGTGATACTCCAAAGCTTTCCACATGGCGATTAGCTCAAAGTGAGGTCGCTTGTACTCGCTGCTGATTATTTCTAAAATCACTGTCTCGGGCGTAGCTGAAATAATATGTGTCAGGCCTGCCCCGTGCGCGCCAACGATCACTGCAGCATCCTGCACGGCTCGAACCTGCTCTTTCATCGACATGTGCGCAAACAGCCCGTTGACGACGTTCAGTTTACACTCTGAATGATTTGATGCCCACTTCTTTATAGATTCGAAAACCTCGGGTTCGTTGCTGAGTCTCGACTGAACCTTACCCCCGTGTCGGGGATGGGCCAGATAATCCTCGCGCCGCACAAAGAGGATATCGAGGCCAGTGGAGGCGGATTTGGGGATGTTGTGCCTGTTGACTGGCAGCCCAAATGCTGCCCTGATCATCTCACCGAACTCGGACAGGCGGGCAGTCTTGTGGTGGTCAGGTTTTCGCCACAGTTGGTAGGCAGAAGCCCCGCGGCAATTGATGTGCTTTGAGAGTCCCTTGAAAAGAGGAGTTTCGTAACCTAATGGCGCGAGAATAGCATGGCGAAAGCAGACGGAGTTGGTGAAGTTCTTTGCGTACGTAATGCTTGAAAACAATGCCGCCCATGTTTCTTCCAAGCGAGTCTGTTTCGTAAAAAGTTATAATTGTGAAATGTTACTCACAGGCAGCGAAAAATGGTCGGATAATATCAAATATCAAAATTTTCTGCAGAATGCAAACAAGGTAATACACAAACTAAAACTAGCATTCGCCAATCTCCTCGGCACGAAAATAGTGCTCGTCTGTAGTTACGGAAATTCCAGAAAAGACTCACCAATATTTACTAGATTTACCGAAAACTACATAAGCAAGTTCCAACATAAAGGATCGAAATATAATAATAATAATACTGCCCAGCTTTCTTAATCAGCAAATGCTTCGAAATACATGTTTTAGAGATGGCCACGGCCATCAATCAACAGAATTTTATATTCATAATCAAATTCTAAGCCATAGCCTATACTCCACACTAACGTTCAAGAAATATAATTGGGTTCGCAGGGATACCTCGCAGTGGCCGTCAACAAAGACCAGATGGGGTCGGGTAGGCAAGCCGGTGACTCTGGAGGACACGTATGCGCTGTACCAATCCGTGAATGTGTGAAACAAATTTGCATATTCGAATCGGGTTACTAAAACTGTTGGCTCCTCAATCCACTGAAAACAACACCATTCTAGCAACAATAAACCCCACAAGAATCACGAAAAAAGAAAAACAAAGAGGCGCTAAAGCATGAAGATCAAGTCAACCCTGACATCAATCTCAAAATAGAATTATATTCGGAATCAGCAAAAATCATTCGTCTCCTACGTCATCCAATACAATATGAAACACAATACCATTTTAACAACAATAAATCCCACAAGAATCACGAAAAAACGAAAACAGAGACACTAAAACATGAAGATCAATTCAACACAGCCAACAATCTCGAAGCTAAATAGAATTACATTCAGAATCAGCAAAAAAAAAATAAATGATTCTGTCTCCTACGTAATCCAAAACAATATGATGCTCATATCAGCAGTATCTAACATGTATCTATCTAAAGATTACATTAATCATCTTTTCCAACAGAAATAAAAAAATTTCCATAAACAAACAAGAAGATTCATAATTCTTTTATCACAATTTTGTCTCATTCAGATAATTCTAATCCCAAAATCTATTGAGTGCAATCACTATCCAATGATCCAAGAAATACAATAATTTACTCAAAGAAGATCAACATAGATACCGAAACATATCTTAATCCTGCATAAACCACAATTATAATAATCTGAAAATCTCAGATCAGTGAGAAGTTACACAAACTTGCTTACCTCAGAGCAGATGAAATTCGTGTCATCAACCAACCGAATTGAATCAACCAAACTACGCATGGTGTGCCTGTGGATTTCGCCTTCTTGTATATACTGATCCAGAAACCCTAAATCTACCAATTTTTCCCCATTTCTCGATCTGTCAGAAACCTGAATTTCGAAAGCTCCATCGTCAAAACTGGGGAGCTCCTCGTCTTCCCCTCTGCCAATTACACTCTCCAGCTTCTCCCCTCCTCGAGCCATCGAAATTCGGTCTGGAATCATCCGAATTCCCCCTCCTTCGCATATCGAACTCCTCAGCGTTTCGCTGTAGAAACATCTGAACCATCCGGTTTCCCGTTGAGTTTCGTCGATCGGCTTCAGAGGATCCACGCGTTTGGTGAATCCGTTCCCGAAATACGCTTCGCAGGAACCGTAGGGCACGTCGGCGTTCTGCGTCCACGGCAGGTAGGACGGCAGTATCGGCCAGGGTTTGAGTGATGCAGTTCCACGCGGCGGCGGGTAGTCCACGTCGTGGCGGTCCTGTTCGGCCGGGCGGCGGCGGTGATGGTGGTCCGGGTGAGACGATAAGTAGATGTAGAGTGAAATCGAGTTCAGCGTGAAAAGAGAGAGCAGAATTCTCAGTGCTCCGCCTTTCATCGCCGCCGCCTCTCTAACCCTCCCCCGGCCGGCGATTCACCGGTGACTCTGCTTTACAAAAGCAACTGTTGATTCCGCATCCAAAATTCAAAAATGTTGCAAAAAAATCAAATATAGGCATAGAATTCCACCGAAAACACATATAATTGAGATGATTCAAACGATGAATCTGCTGCAATTAAGCATTCGGGGAGATTCATGAGAAGTCCGGATGGGTCCGTCGAACGAAGAACTGGAAAATGGAGAAACAGTCGACACAGACAAAAGATGGCTGTGCTCTACACCGAACTTCTACTTTTAGGTGGACCACTCCAACGACGTCGTATTATCTTATCATTAATTTTATTTTTACACTACTAAATTTAAAAAAAATATCGTATCAAATATATAATTTTTTTAAAAAAATATCAAATTAAATATTAATTTTTTATTTTTTTAAAATTTTAAAAAACATAGAAAGTCATGTACTAGCATTATTTATTTATTATTATTCTTAGTTAGTAGTAGTAGTAAAGTAGCAGCACCATTATTATTATTATTATTAATTGTGAGGTTCGTAGAGAAGACTTTGAATTCAATCTTCGAATAAAATAACCGAGCGAGTTTACTTGTGTCTTTTATTGGGATTGTTTATTTTGATTTTTAAATATATTTTTGTATAGTTAAAGAACATATATACATTACTCCCATCGAGTGTATTTATTTTGTTAGAACTTGTCATAAATTTACACCTAAACCCAGGATTTACCGTGTTGTAATAATAATTGAGATAAAAAAATAAAGCGAAATAAATCTAACTTTTTGTGTTCTTCAAGCCTATGACACAATGGTTGATATATGGAACGTAATGGTTGTTGCGTCTAGACCTAGAATCGCAACCCTATTTATATCCCTTATTATTAATTGACCTCATCACCCAATTAATAATTTATTGAGTTTCTGCATTTAAACCCAATAAATTTATAGATCACTTAATCTAGGCTTAATAACCCAAATAGTTACATTTAACCCAAAATTAAATTTTTAATCCAACATATTTCGATTGTTTTTTATATTTTTCTCTAAAAAAAACATTTCTTTATACATTATGTTAATGTTAAATCCAAATCAAAATTCATCAAAAGAAACAAATTCAAATTTATTATTTAAATTTATGTCAACATGATAATATTTAAACTTAAAAATAATTTTTAAATATTATATTTTTAGTAATAAATAAATAAGATAATATTTAAAATATATATATTTGTTTAATACTTCTCCTCTGTTCCACCGGAATTGAACCCTTGGGACAAGCTATTTAAGGTGAAAATGTTTAATTAGTTAATAATAATTAGTTACGATATTACTCCCTCGGTCCACAAATTAATGTCCTACTTTTCTATTTGGGACGTCCAATAACTATTCTCCTATTTTCTTTTTTAAACACAAATTTTACATTTTTACCATTTATTCGTTTATTACTTTTAATCTCTACCATACAATTATGGGCAAATTTGTCAATTTATAACAAAAAGACAATCACCTAAGAAACCGTGCAAATATTCTTTAGGACAATAGAAATTGAACGGATGGAGTATTATATTATTTTTTTTATAATTAATAATATTTATATTTTTAGAGTAAATTTAATATATATGATTAAAAAAATAAAATATATATTTAAATATTTAAAAATTGTATAACAATTAAAAAATATATGCAATATGGATATCATTTTGTAGAGAATAAAATTTTCAGTAATACAAGTAAATAAAAAAATATTTTGTTTATTTATAATTAACATAAATCAATATTATAAAAGATGTGTAGTTTTAAATATAGATAAAAATATTTATTTTTTTGAAAAGATACGGTAGAAGTAAAAGATTTTTGAGTGGTCCTGCGTCATTTATAATGTTGTATGTTATATAGTTAATTAAGTTGATTTATAACTTGTTGAATATATTTTGATTTAATAATTTTTACCAAAAATAGAAAAGTGTCGATTGTTAAGGATAGACAAAAATGAAAATAATGTTAATTATGATGGAGTATTTATTAGTTTGTTTGGCAGTTATTTAAGTGTTAATTTAACTTTTAGAGTTTGTTGATTTTGTATTTTTTATATTAAGTAAAAAAAATTACTAATATAAAAAATAATATTTTATATTGAATTATTGTAAACTAATAAAACATATATTAGTATATTGGATTAGTATGCATATTATATTTTTTTATAATATTTATAAAAATTGTTATATTTAAAAATATTAATTAAACAAATTTTTATTTAAATAATATTTTATTAGATAAAATAGTAAAAAATTGCATAAATCTAATAATGTTATTATAATTTTAAATTAAAACCAAACAAACCCCTCATGTTTTTGTTATTATTATTTTTTTGTGTTTTTTTATTAATTTTTTAATAAATAAATATATTATAAATATTTATTATATATATATATATATTTTTTTTGTTATGACTTGGGAACCAGCAGCTGCTATCCGAAAATGTTCACTGGACAGCTGAAAGGTTGGGTTTGAACCATAAACCATTGTATTGATATTTTATTAGATGCATCATATCTAAGGAGATTCTCTACAAAAATTGTTAGATAGAAAGTCTATTTAGGGTGTGTTCGTTTGTAAGATTTGTGCAAAATTTTACTATTCATCCAATTTTTTCCCCCAAAAAATATTAAATCAAACACCTATTTTGCATTTTTTATATTATACTAAAAATCAATTTTACATTCAAAACATCACATCAACACCTATTTATATCACATCGTACAACTATTCAAATTCAAAATTTTTACTTTTCAAATCCCAACTCAAAATTCAAACCCGCAGACAAACACACCCTTAGTAAGCTTCCTCTATGTAATTTATTCTATTCTCTTTCTATTAATTCAGATTTTTATTATTGATGCTGTTTTGAGAAGATATAAATTATTTTATTTTTAGAATATAGCATCGATCAAGAAATCTTCCTTCACTCAAAAGAGGTTTTTTTCGACTCAGTCTTTTTTTCAAATTTCTCGTTATCTTTTTGTATTTTTAAATCATATATATAAAATTGTATTGATACTTTTGCTCTTTGAAGTACGAATAAAATATATTTTCTTTATCTCAATACAATAGTCTTATCTATTATTTTTTTTCCATATCAAAACAATAGTCTTATTTCATAAATAATCATATAATCGTAAAATTACCTCTGTTTTTTTTTTCATTTTTATTACACAATTATCACTATTTTTTACACTAATACACTCACAAAGCAAAAAAAAAATCTTTTATCTATATTTTTTATTCATTAAATCTAACCAAATTAAGACTATATTTATGAGACGGAGGGATTATATATATATTCTAAGAATTACTTTAATTATAATAAAAAAGAAATAATATTATTTAAAAATAATCCTGTTTAGATTTAAGTTTAAAAAGGGTAACTGACAGTTTTTGGATGGTGAAATTTGATCGGTACATATTGAATGGCAAAAACTCGTAGAGCACCTGCAAATTGCCGCGTTTGTTGCCTTGCCCAGCATCGTCCTCGCAGATTCAACCCCAGATTCATGGATCACCACAAATTCAATCCCCTTACCCTTCAATTTCATTACTCCCACTTGTTTTTTGCTCTCACATTCTTCCTTCGCGGAATTCATTCGCAAGCCTCAAAGTTTATCCATCGTTCTCACCGATTGGGGTCTCAATTGTTGCGGCTAGGTGCGCGCACGCGCGCGCTCGATCGATTTAATCTCGAATTTGAAATTTCATGCAGCGTTTGGTTTCCATTTGATTTGGTTTTGGTGTTTTGCGTGCAGATATACAATTTGGGGGCGCGTAAAGCTGCCTAGGGTTTTCGTGTTGCGGGGATGGGTCATTCCGACAACGAGACTAGCAAAAAGAGCAATGCCGATCCTGATATAGTTTCCGATTCTGAAGGCACGGTCAGCCGGCAGACGAGCCATGCTTCTCTGTGCGGAACGGAGGACGAGGAGGAATTCGCGAATCTTCAATTGGGGCCGAAGATGAGCATCAAGGAACACCTTGAGAAAGACAAGGTTTGTTTAATCAAATTACTGCAACCAACGGAGGTTTACCAACAGCTATATCGCGATTAATTCACGTTTTGATGAGCCGCCAGGATGATGAGAGCTTGAGGAGGTGGAAGGAACAGCTCCTAGGAGGCGTGGATGCTGATGCTGTTCAAGGTAAACCTGAGATAATTTGATTTGATTTTCCTCTGTTTACGGTATCTCAATGTGTTTACCTGATTAAATTAGGGCACTGATTTGTCTTCATAATTGGGAATTTTTGTGAATTCAGAGAATTTAGAACCAGATGTGAAAATCTTTAGCCTTTCCATACTGTCTGCTGGTAGACCTGACATTGTGCTTCCGATCACTGAGGGTCAGGACCCGAAGGGGCCATGGTTTACGCTGAAGGAAGGCAGCAAATACCGGCTGAAATTTTCCTTCAAGGTCAGCAACGACATCGTCTGTGGCCTCAAGTACACCAACACTGTCTGGAAATCTGGCCTGAAAGGTATGTTTGCTCGTAGTGAATTAATTCGATAACTGCTATATGACATGATATATGTCGAATAACAAAAGAGTTTTTCGATTGGATTATACTTGATTTGATTCAGTTGAAAGAGTCCAGTTTCGATATTTATTTCAAATATGAAATAGGATTGGGAATGAAAGAGACATAGAACATGCTTGCTACATTTAATCCTCCTTATATATACGCTTTAAATGCTTTATTAGGTCGATGATTGATCGTAAGCATTGTTGTTTGTTTGTTATAAGCAGTTGGTGTGTTCGTTTAACCAAAAGAGTTTGGTTTTGAATCTGTATTTCAATTGGAGTCCAATTTCAAAAAACAAGTTTTGAAATTTCATAAGCAGTTGGTGCATCCGAATAATCAAAAGAGTTTTGGTTTTGAACCCGTAATTTGATTCACTTGGCAGGGTCCATGTTCAATATTTATTTGGAAAATGAAATAGAACTAGCAATGAAAGAGACATCGAATATTCTATCAATTTGTATACATGCTTACTAAATTTAACCATTCTTATAGTATACATTACGAATGCTTTAATTAGGCCAATGATTGATCATACACATTATTGTTTGTTTGTTAGAGCAGTTGATAGCACCAAAGAAATGCTGGGAACTTTCAGTCCTCAGGCAGAGCCGTACACACACGAAATGCCTGAAGACACTACGCCGTCTGGGCTCTTTGCCAGAGGATCATACAGTGCAAAATCGAAGGTATATAATCTCACAATCTGTGTAATCATTTTAATCATCTTTGTCAGATACATTGTTGCTAAATTGATCTAATTGTTCATTCCATCTCATGTCTAACTTCAGAACTTGGATTAATATTGAAAAATATAACCAAATTGAGATTGATACATTGCTTTGAAGCTCCACGATTGGTTGCTAAACATATCATTATGTAGTAAACTGTGGTTGTGTCCTTTAGGAAAAGTGGAATCTTTATTGTTAGTTATTGAAAATTGTGATGTTGTTTGTGTAAAATAATTTTAAGCTATTTTCTAAGAGAGAAAAATACTGTATTTATGTTGGGAAATGCGATAAATTTCTTTTGTATTGAGAATAATGTAATATATAAGAGAACAATTCTGCACCTCTTCAATCGAATTATATGTTAATGTGTTTGTTCCAAGGTTTGGATTTAGAGTTTGATTTGAATAGTAAAAATTTGAATTCAGTATAATGTGATATAAATAAGTATCCATACTATGTTTTGCATATAAATTTAATTTTTAGTATAATATAAAAAAATAAAAAATAGATGTTTTGTTAGATGATTTTGGAGGAAATTTTCTTTTATGAATTATAGAAATATGTGAAACCTCACCAAAGAACATCTGAATAAAGTATTTCATGCTGCTATAAAACATATGCATTATAGACATAATTTACAGTATATATTCAAATGATTTCTACTCGAAAGCATGTTTGAATTATGAGTATCATTATTTAGAGTTTATAATTTTGAATGATTTTGTTGGACTTGTATGGAATCGTGAAAGTACTATTGGGAATGATGTTTTATGTTTTTTTTTTGTTTTTTTTAAATATCTTTGGCGAATCATGTAAGAATAAAATATTAAGTGGACACACTATTTATTTACAGTTTGTGGATGATGACAACAAATGCTACCTGGAAATCAACTACACTTTTGACATCCAGAAAGATTGGCCATCAAACTAGCAAAATCTTGTGCTGCTGATGCTCTTGTTCATCATTCTGGAAGGGGAGTTATCAATTTCTATCTTTTTGTTTTTTTAATTTATTATTTTTTTATATATATATAAAAAAAAAAGTTAAAACATTACTGTTATTTCTTTAGTTTCTAGTTATACTTTGAATTATAGGGAATTCTGAGTCTTCTTGATTGGTCATTCTTGTAGTAATATACATGGGTGTTTATTATTTATTTAATATTATTATTATTTTTATTATTATTTTGTTTTTGTAATTTTTAGAATTTGTGACAGATGCAAATCGCAATGGTTCTTGCTTGTTAGGATTGTAGAGAATTGACTTTTGCTTATTGAAGTTGTAATTTTCTTTTCTCAGTTATGAATCAGCTTTTACTTGCTATTCTGACATAAAATTGTTGTAAATTTGAAGTAAAATAATAGTTGGACGTGACGTTTCGTATAAAATAAAAATAGATATATTTTTATTAAAAATGATTAAACCATATGGTACCCAAAAAAATGTCATTTTCCAATATTTGATGACGACATTCATTTAGGGTTATATAATGGCTTTGTACAATTTTTGAATTGCAATTTTAAAAAAATAATAATAATGAATATAAAATATGTTTTACAAATATGAAAAAGTCAAAATAAAAATGAAATATTCATTACAAAAATTAAATAATTAAATATTTAATTTAAAATAATATATTTTACTCTGTAATATTTCTAAAATAAAAAATAATTAATTATACTTAATATATATTTCACATAAATCCGTGTCATTGGGATGGAGGGAGTATTTTTTACCTAATTTTTTTTATCATATAAAAAAATTAATTCAATTCGGCGGTCACATGTCCAACCCCCACACCACCGGATTGTCCCTTACGGGACAACCTACCAACATATTTGCTCATTAAAAATGTGTATTTACTACAATATATATTATACTCTCTCCGTCTCACGTACCATGTCCACGTTGCCGTTTCTGTCCGTCTCACATACAATGTCACTTTCTTTTTTTTTTAAAAAAAAATGATTATACATTTTAATCTCATTTTAAACTTTTTAATTTTATTTTTTTAAAATTTTAATTAAACTAATTAGTTATCTTAATCTTAATTTATAATTATTTATATTAAAAGATAATTATTTTCACTAATACATTTTTAATTATCTACTAATTATACCCCTTCTAAACTCCTCCTAAAATACCGGATCTACAGTGTAGCAGATACGGTACGTGAAACGGAGGAAGTACCATATAATAACAATAATAAGAATAATGTAAATTATAACATCAACAGTATAGATTATGCATATGAGATAATGAATTTACATGCTTAATTATATTTTAATAATGAAAAAACTATTTTTTAGTCTCATGTTAGACCTTTATTATTCTAGATAACTAAATTTTGTTTTCAATTAATCTTATAAATGAAAATATTTTTGGTAAAAATAGTCATCACATGTTAAAGTTGGGGATATGACAACGTCATAGTATACGAAAGACCGGCCGGATAACATGTTAGAAATACATAAAAATTCTTTTAGGATACTTATATTCCATCCGTCACAAAGATTGTCATCTCGGTATATTAAGAACAAGGTTATTATTTTTTAATTTAATAATCTATTATAATAAATATCCTACAAATTTACCGTATATTATACAAATTATTTTTGTATTTTTGTACTACAATACAAAATAATACTCTCTTCATCTCAGATATCGTGTATGCTACACTGTAGACATGGTATTTTAGGAGGGGTGTAATTAGTAGATAATTAAGATGTATTAGTAAAAATAATTATCCTATAATATAAATAATTATAAATTAAGATTAAGATAACTAATTAGTTTAATTAAAATTTAAAAAATAAAATTAAAATTTTTTGTTACGTACGAAATTTAGAATTAGGTTAAAAGCCCAAGGTAAAAAGAAGAATGGGTCTGGCAATAGAGTTGATTGAACTGGCTGAAGGACACCGTGTGGAAATCAAGGAAACTACAGGACGGAAAGACTTCAGGTCGGAAGGTCTTCAGGTCGGTAGGTCCTCAAGACGGAAAGTCTTCAGGACGGAAAGACTTTAGGTCGGAAGGTCTTCAGGTCGGTAGGTCCTCAAGACGGAAAGTCCTCAGGACGGAAAGACCTCAGGTCGGAAGGTCTTCAGGTCGGGAGGTCCTCAAGACGGAAAGTCCTCAGGACGGAAAGACCTCAGGTCGGAAGGTTTTCAGGTCGGGAGGTCCTCAAGACGGAAAGTCATCAGGACGGGAAGTCCGCAGGTCGGAAGGCCCTCAGGTCGGGAAGTCCTCAGGACGGAAAGACTAAAGGGCGGAAGGTCTTCAGGTCGGTAGGTCCTCAAGACGGAAAGCCATCAGGATGGGAAGTCCGCAGGTCGGGTAAACCGTAGATCGGATAGAAGGCGAGGTCGGGCAGACGCGGAGGTCTGTCAAGAGGAAGGTCGGGCAAGGAAGAGGTACGGACAGATGCGGAGGTCTTCGGTCAAAGACGGAGGGCGGCTGATGCGGAGGTCGGCCCAAGTGAGGTCGGGCGAAGAAGCAGGTCGGGCGAAGGACGAAGTCGGGCCAAAAGGGCGGAAGGTCTGTGGTCGGCTCAAAGAGTGAAATATAGGGATAATTTTGGTCTGCTGAGGACACGTGTCAGCAGGAGAAGGGTTGGAAGACGGTTGGGAAGGAGACGTGGTAACCGTTCGGGCGACGGTTTTCAGTACAGTTTCTTCAAAGAATATTTAAGGATTTGGATCATTATTTGGCAAGGCATCTTCAATCAACTTCAACAAAGCAAAGTCAGATTTGGGGATCACCACTTTAAATTTCAGTCTTTTATTTTCCAGTTTATTTTCTGTACCATACAGTGTTTAGAGATTCCTAATCTCAGGCACTAATTAATCAAGTTTAAGGATATTTTCTATATCTTTGAATTTTACTTTATTTTTGTTGAAAAATTACATTAACAAATTGGCGACCACAGTGGGAGCAAGACAAAATTGCTCATTCCAATTCCGGCGATAATTTCATACGTCTAAGATCCGGCCGTATCATCGGAAGGGTCCATATGGCAGGTTCACAACCTCAATCATCTTCGGCACCGGTGGGAGAATCCGTTCCACCACCTATTGTGCCAAATGCCGGGGAAATCCCACAACCACCAACTGATTGGTGGTCTTATGTTCAACAAATGAACAACCAGCAACAAACAATGATGTAACAGAGGCTCAAATAACCATAGTGGTTATTTGTCTAAAGAGCAACAAACAATGATGCTCGAAGTTATTAGAAACAACATTGATTGTTTAGCATGGGATTATTCAGAGATGCTTGGTTTGACAAGAAGTCTAATAGAGCATCGATTGCCTATCAAGGAAGGTTGTAAACCTTACAAACAACCTCCAAGGCGAATGAGCCCGGATCTGATGCCTCAAATCAAGGAAGAAATCCAAAAACTTCTCAAAGTGGGTTTCATTCAGCCTTGCCGTTATGCGGAGTGGCTGGCTAACATTGTGCCAGTGGTCAAGAAAAATGGTAAGATAAGGATATGCATTGATTTCAGGGATTTGAATCTAGCTACCCCTAAGGACGAATATGTGATGCCTATGGCCGACATGTTGATAGATGCAGCAGCAGGGCATAAAGTCCTTAGTCTGATGGATGGTTATGCAGGTTATAACCAAATATTTCTGGCAGAAGAAGACATTCCTAAGACAGCATTCAGGTGCCCAGGGGCTTTAGGTATTTATGAATGGACAGTCATGCCATTCGGGTTAAAGAATGCAGGGGCAACTTACCAAAGAGCCATGAATTCAATCTTTCATGATTTAATTGGCAAATCTATGGAAGTTTATATTGATGATGTTATTGTTAAATCCTCCAGTTTTAACGAACATTTGAAAAATCTTGAAGAGGCATTCGAAAGAATGAAGAAGTACAAGTTGAAGATGAATCCAACCAAGTGTGCTTTTGGAATATCAGCCGGGAGCTTTTTAGGATTTTTAGTTCATGAGAGAGGAATTGAGATTGATGCCAATAAGGCTAAAGCCATTCTTGACAGTCGGCCACCCAAGACGGTTAAAGAAATCCAAAGTCTTTTGGGTAAGGTGAACTATTTGAGGCGTTTCATTTCTAATGCTGCTGGCAAGGTCAGACCCATTACTAAATTGTTGAAAGCTGGAAGACATGCTTTTGAATGGGGTCCCGATCAACAGACGGCTTTAGATGCTATCAAGCAGGCATTGGTTCACCCTCCAGTCTTGATGCCTCCTAAACAAGGTCGGCCGCTCAAACTTTATTTGGCAAATACATATGAAGTGGTTAGCTGTTTGTTGGCACAGGATGGTGATGACGGGAAGGAAAGGGCAATCTACTATCTTAGTAAAACCCTTACAGGACCCGAATTGAATTACACTATGCCAGAAAAAATGTGTTATTCATTGGTCTTCGCTTGCACTAAACTCGAGCATTATTTGCTGCCCAGAAGAATTGAGGTCATATCAAAGGTGGATCTCATCAAATTGATTTTACAGAGGCCTACTATGAAGGGCAGACTCATGAAGTGGGCCATCAAATTGGCTCCTTTTGATCTTCAACATTCCCCTTTGAGGGCAATCAAGGGACAAGCAGTAGCCGACTTCTTAGCAGAATTCTCACAAGTCGGGTATTCTCTTTGTGATAGTGTCCGACCACTTAGTTGTTCATCATATCTGAATAATCTACAGGTCGGATGTGTGCCTTATATAAGTACCAGAACATGGTTGATGTTCTTTGATGGTTCTACCTCTGGAAACAAATCAGGGGCAGGGGTCTTTTTGCAAGGACCTGATGGTCAAAAGATCAACTTACAACTACGATTGGAAGCCATGACCCATAATTCGGCAGAATATGAAGCTTTAATTTTGGGTTTGGAGGCTTTAATAGCCAGGAAGGTCCAGTCTGTAATCATAAGGGGGGATTCTCAATTAGTAATCAACTAGGTAAACAATCAATATGTTTGCAATTACCCTCATCTTCGCAGATACAGGGACATTGTGGGTCGGTTACTGACAAAAATCTCAGAAGTAATAATTGAGTTCATTCCGAGGAAAGAAAACCAACGTGCTGATGAGTTGGCTCAGACGGCCTGTAAAGAAATTCTGGAGGATATGTGGTCGGAGGTCAAGTCGGGCATAGAAGGAAAGACAGACCCAATATGTGATCGAATGGTCGGGCAGGAGACTGTCGGACAGGAGCCCGACTGCGAAGTTACGGTCGGGCAGGAGATTGTCGGACAGGAGCCCGACTGCGAAGTGGT